AAAGAATTTTGAACATGAAGACGCAGTAGTATAAGAATGATTGACTTAAGCAGTCTGAAAGAAGCCTTAAGTTTGGCAAAATGATACCCAAGGACAGGATATGATATCATTTCACAAATATTTGAGAGATGGAAAGACCAAAGGTGGTAGTGGGGGAAATAATTTTGGTTAGTTATTAGAAGGGGAAGAAATATAGAAAGGGAAATTTTCAACTGAGTATCAGTTGAATTTCCTGACAGTAAAAATTGGTCATGAGTGGACTGGAAGATCCAACTACAGAGATGGCAAAAACAGAGGGCATTTCATTGTGGGAGATATACCTTAATAGTGGCTGAAAGATTATCTAAATGGGAAAAAGTGGTATTTCATTGACAGTCAGTCTTGAGGATTTCTCCTTTCGCCATTGATCAGAATCCTTTTTTCTTCTACATGCCAGAAAGAAGACTTGATATCTTTTTGCTTACTTGTTCTTACTCTCATTTGTTCCTAACTTACTTTGGAAGAAACACGGCATACTTTTGGAAGAATCAGTGTTCAAAGTAAATAAGTATTCAGGTCGGGCGCAGTGGCTCACACCTGTAATCCTAGCACTCTGGGAGGCTGAGGTGGGCGGATAGCTTGAGGTCAGGAGTTCAAAACCAGCCCGAGCAAGAGTGAGACCCCATCTCTACTATAAATAGAAAGAAATTAATTGCCCAACTAATATATATAGAAAAACTTAGCCGGGCATGGTGGCGCATGCCTGTAGTCCCAGAGTTTGAGGTTGCTGTGAGCTAGGCTGACGCCATGGCACTCACTCTAGCCTGGGCAACAAAGCGAGACTCTGTCTCAAAAAAAAAAAAAAAAGTAAATAATTATTCAAAAGCTTTCAAGTTTTCATAGCGTGAAAGCAACCTGAGTTTTTTTTTTGTTTTTTTTTTTTTTTAGGTTTTTGTTGTCTCTTTTCCATCCATTTTTATCTAGCTTAAGGTAGTAGAATCCTCAAGCTATGGAATGCTCTAACTAGTTGTGGTGTAGGAGACAACTCTCACTGCAGTTGGAAGGTCTGAATTCTGTCTCAAGCATGCATTAGGTGGGTCACCTGAGCAAGTTATGTACAAGCATCAATTTCCTAATAAGGAGGCAATAATATCATTATGCTTGCTGTACAGATCAAGTGAAACTGTGGGAAAATGCTGTACCAATTGTAGTTGTTAATGTCTGTGTTAGTTTTCTATTGCTGCCAAAACAAATTACAATTACCACAAACCTAGTGGTTTAACACAACATAAATGTATTATCTCACAGTTCTGTAGCTTAGACGTCTGGTTAGGTTTGACTAGTTTCCTTGCTCTGGGTCTCACAAGCCTGAAGTCAAAGTGTTGCTGCCCTGAGCCCCTATCTGGGGGCCCTAGGGGAGAAGATGGCCCAGCTTCCATGCTCATTTAGGATGCTGGCAGAATTCAGTTTCTGCTCTAGGACTGAAGTCCCTATAACCCTTCCTGGTGGCCCAGGAGCATTTCAGCTTCTAGAGGTTGCCTCATTCCCTGGTTCACGGCCCCCTTCATCTTTTTTTTTTTTTTTTTTTTTTTGAGACAGTCTCACTTTGTTGCCCAGGCTAGAGTGAGTGCCATGGCGTCAGCCTAGCTCACAGCAACCTCAAACTCCTGGGCTCAAGAGATCCTTCTGCCTCCGCCTCCCGAGTAGCTGGGACTACAGGCATGCACCACCATGCCTGGCTAATTTTTTGTATATATATGTTTAGTTGGTCAATTTCTTTCTATTTTTAGTAGAGACAGGGTCTTGCTCAGGCTGGTTTTGAACTCCCGACCTTGAGCAATCCGCCCGCCTCAGCCTCCCAGAGTGCTAGGATTACAGGCGTGAGCCACCACGCCTTGCCCCCCTTCATCTTTAAAGCTATTTGAATCCTCACATTTCAAATCTCTTTACCTCCCCTTTACATCATCTCTCCTGCCTCTAGCCAGAGAAAGTTCTCTGTTTTTAAGAGCTCGTGTGATTAGATTAAGCCCACCTAGATAATCCAGGATAAACTCCCTATTTTAAGGTCCATAACCTTATTACATCTGCAAAAGTCCCTTTTGCCATGCAACATATTCACAGGTTCTAGGGGTGAAGGTGTGTATATCCTTGGGGAGCCATTCTGCCTATCACAATGATGTTATTTTATAAAGGGCTAGAAAGGGGACCTTACAGAACATGAGTTGAGATTCCTGCCCTGGATGGCTCACAGTCCAGTGGGGAAAAAGAGATGAAAAACATAATACAGCCAGAAAAACCCAATAATAGAGTTTGTATGAGATGTTATAGAAATTCAGAAGACTTTTTGTGTACCTGACTTGTCCTGTGATCTTTCCATCATTCCTTGTTTGTTCCCTGATGAGTCTGGTCTTTTATCAAGATCCTTCAGATGGAATCCATATACCCCAAGCAACACCATGAGATTTGATTCCTTAAATGTCCAGAAAATCAAGCTGCTGCCATAGCTCAGTATTTGGGACTCTACTGCTAACTAAGGAAAGGTCTTGAGCCTTCAGCTCAAGGTAAGAGGAATTCTTTTCTTTTCTGATGATGGATAACAGTGGCTGGTTGTTCCCTTTCTCCCCGTTTTCATCATCAGACCCCCTTGAGAGCCACCTTGTTCTTTACTCCTAGCTCTCTCTAGCCACATGTCTCTCCTCCCTCCTCTTCTGAGTGTTCTTGTTTCTTATTATTTTGAATTAGAAGACACTTGTCCTGGGAAATGCAGAGGTTTCTGCTTAATTCTTGTAACTTGTCATTTCTATTTTAATGTTTCCTGGATAGTTGGTCGAGTTTTGTAATAATTATAGCTGCCAATTATTGAGTACTCACCATGCGCCAGGTACTGTGCAGAGTCCTGTACTTTCATTTTCCCACTTAATTTGGACATTCTGTGAGGTGTGGGTACTATTTTTATGTTCATTTGAACCCAGCTAGGATTTGAACCCAGGTCTGAGTTCCAAGCTTGTACTGGACACCATGTACTCCAGTAACATTAAACAGGAGCTGAAATGGAGGGGCAGCCTGGAGGAACTGTAGCAACACAAGTAGATGGAGGAAACCTAAATTTCAAACTCAACTCTGTCTCTACAGCCCTTCTGAAACTTAGAGTATTTGCTTCTAGAGCGCCAAGATTGCCTCGGTTTTTCCACCAGAGACACTGAAAGTGATTACTAGACTCTGCTAGACAAATGATGCGGCTTGTGTCTACAGCACCAGACAGCCACAAAGCACATGTGGGCACTGGCTTGACATTCCACAGAAAAGCCGATATCTCTGAGAGGCATGGGGACTGGGTGTGTGCTGTGCCATGTGACTGACCCCTAAAACACCCTGGGCCTAGCAGTTATCGGTGCAGATGATGCCTTCCCCACAGGGTGGAGAGGATTAAGATATTTAAGGATTTAGGATGGTGCCTGGCACTTAGTAGGCACTCAATATGCACTGGCTCTCATTGTCCTTCTAAAAGGTTTTTAGTTCATGAGTATTCAAGCCAGTAGAATCCTGTTCTTTCAGCTCCACTTGAATCTAGGCTCGATGTTGAGGAGAAGACACGAGATGCATCTCTGTTGGCCCCTGTCCAATACTGTGAATCATACCAAATCTCATAAGTTTGAGCTCAGAGAGGACTGGAATTTGAGGCCAAAGAAGGCAAAATATTTCCTCTTCCCATTCTTGCTAAGTTCTTGAGTTATCGGTGTAATGGAAACAGTTCTGGGTTCAAATCCAGGCACTACACTTGCCTGTTCAAGTGACCTGCCTGTTTACATCATGGACAGAACTTGGACTGTGAAGAAGGGTAAGCCTGAGTTCAAACCCCAGCTTTGCCAGTTAATGGCCATTTGACTCAGTCACTTATCCTGTCTGAGGCCATCTTCTTACCTGCAAGCTGGGGCAGCAGCAGTTCTTCCTTTGCAGGGTGGTGAAGCTAGAAAGTAAGCATGTAGTATAATCAGGATGCCATGGCAGCAGTGGGAGAAAGGTCTGGAGCTGCTTCACAGGGGCCATTCATTCAGCCAGGGCCCTGGCAATTTAGGGTGAGCAAGTGGTCCCATGTTTGATTTATTTATTCTTCTCCCTCTCCAGCAGGAAGGAAGCCAGGTGAGGCAGCTGTGGGTGTCCTGCCCACAGGCCAGAGCAGGTAATGGGGGAGAGGCTTATTACACAGAGGAGGTGCCAAGTACCACCTAACCCCAGCCCCACCGCCTGTTCCACCGCTGAAGCCCCTGGCGCCAAACAGTGTTGCTTCAGCTGCTAGTAGTTAATGCTTCCTTACTTGGAAACGTTTGCAGCTCCTGGGAGCAATATGGTGCCGTGAGGGCTCACTGTTCACCCTCCCTGTCTCCCTGCGACCAGGATCCGCATGCACCCGACTCCCAGTCCAGTTTACTATCCTTCAAGGCTCACCAGGCCTTGGGCCCAGGCCCAACAGGGGTTGGGGCTGAGGGTGGGGTGAAGAGTGGGGAACTTTTCCGGGAAGAGGTCCAGCAGGGTCTTGGCTGGCGGCCCTGTTAGCCACGGCCCAGGACCCCAGGGTGGGAGAGTGAAGGGAAAGGTACTCGTGCCTGGAGCGGTTGCAAATCCTCGTCTTGAGTAGGAAACTGAGCTCAGAGGGAACGGGTGGAAGGGGCCCTTTCCCCGGCCCTCCTTTCAGGTGCTGGGGCCTAAAGGGGGTCCAGTTCCAGTGCGGAGGGCTGGGAACTAGGAAGCGTTGCGGACTAGACACCCGCCTTCCCGCTCTCCTGGAGGGGGGGCGTGGTGCGGCGGGCCCCGCCCGGGCTGAGAGGGGTCGGTGTGGCGGCTCTGCCTCCCGGGGAAGTGGGGCCCCGCCAACTCCAGCGCGGGGAGGGGGCAGGCCTCGCCCCCACCCCCTGCGCCCCGCGCCTGGGGGTACCGTACGCTGTGTCCGAGGAGGCCGGCGTCCAGCAGATGCACGGGGTGGGGGAGGATGGGGGGGCGGGGGAGAGGCGGGGTGGAGAAAATTCACAACAAAACTTGCGTCGCGGAGCGCACGGCTCGACTTGAATGGAAGGAGCCCGAGCCCGCCGAGCGCAGCTGACACTCGGGGAGGAGCGTTCGGCCGGCGGGGCGCGGCGCCGGGCGCAGCAGGTACGGGGCGCAGGCGGCCGGGGTGGGGCAGGGGCTGGGGCCGAGCCTGGGCAGAGGACTCAGACTTCTCCCGCTCTCCGGACGGCCCTAGCTGCTGTCTGGAGCGGGGCCGCCGCATCTCGCCCCCTCCGCCTGACCCTGCACGGAGGGCGCTGCGGCAGATGTCTCCCTCCCGGTGCGACCCCTACGCAGTCAGGACCCAGGCAGGGCCTTTTCTCCTCTCTAACCAGAGGCTGGACCCAGTCCCCGGGCCCCTCCCGCTGCGCACATCTGGAAAGAATCTGAGGGCGGATGCGGGGGAGTGGAAGGACGAGGGCGGGCGACAGGGAATGTGGGGGGCAGGTGGAACTGCGGAGGGGCGTGGACCCTGTGCTTAAAGCCGGGGCACAGAGTATCCCCGGGTCTTTCCACGTCAACTCACCAGGGACCCTGCAAGTCCACCCTCCGACCTCTTTACAGATAGAGAAACTGAGGCCCAGAGAGGGGCAGAGATCCGCCCGCAGGGCTCGTCAGCCGCCAGACGCGCCCCGGGGCCCGGCTTCCCCGGCCGCTGTGTCTGTCGCCCAATTTAGCTCCGTGCGGGCGGCCTGGCGAGTCTGTACGCCGCTGCTTCCCGGCCGGGCAGCTAGACCGAGGACGGGGTGGGAGTGGGGGTCCGCAGAGCGCGAGGAGCGGGGCCCGCGCGCTTCTGCCGTGGCAGCGGAAGCCCCAGGTTGCAGGTCCCTGAATGGGGAGTGAGATGGTGGCGTTGGAATACCTGACGCTCCGTCAGGTGGAAGAGGAGGTGGTGAGCTCCTTGGAAGCCTCCGGGGCTGGGGCAGGGGCTAGGAGGTAGCTGCAGCCTTCTGGAGAGGAGCAAGTGCGGCGGCAAGGGCGGCAAGGGGCCCCCTGCACCCTGGCCTGGGTGTCTGCGGAGCTGACAGTCCCTAGTCGGGAGGTGCAGAGGGATGCGCAACCGGCGCTTGGGGCGAATGAATTACGGACCCGTGGAGGCCCACGCAACCTTAGCGTCCAAGTCGGCCCTTGGACTTCAGGCCGGCCAGGGAAGAGGAAGCTGTGGTCTGCTCCACTCCAAGAGGCGCCGCTGGTGTGAACCAGGAGAGCCCTTGGGTGGTTCTGTGCCCCATCGCTGCCTCGTATAGAAACCTTCCATACTGGGAAGCCGGCGTGAGGCAGGAGGGACACGCTACAGGTAGGCTGTGGACTGCCCTGGGAAAGACCAGCGACTGGTCTGGGGTCCTGCCCACTATATCCACTCTTAGGGCCCAGGGCCCATCTGCTCTAGTCTAGAGTGCAAGTTAAGAAGTGTCAGAATCACCTGTTTTCACATCATCTGTGGGAGCATGCTTTGTCCCTTCTGTTTGTTTCTTGGGGAAGGTGTTACTAATGGTGGCACTTTCAGGCTTGGTAGAGTCATTTTAGTAAGGGTGCTGCCTGTAACTTGCTTGGAACCATTGATGGCTCCTGTCACCAACAATTTTGCATAGTGGCCAGTGGCAACCTAGGTCTCCAGCCCCACCTCCAGACCCTGTTTACCCTTCCTTAGACCACTTCCCTCTTCCCCCATCCCCACACCTGCCTTTGCTGGTGCCCTTCCCTCTGCCTGGAGTGCAGTTCCTCCTGCTTTGTTCACCTGGAGAACTGCTCAGCCTTCAGACCAACTCACGGCTCTGGGAAGGAGGCAGAAGACACAAATTTTACTCTTGGCCTTGCCTTTAACATACTAATCTGTAAACTGAGGGAGTCAGAGCAGACAATATTGCGGATCTTTTTCCAACTTTGCCTTGCAAAACTCATTCATTCAGCAAACATTTCCTGAGCACCCACTCCATGCCTGGGTTGCAGTGGGAGCACCTAGGAACACACCCTAACCCAGCCGAGGGGACAAGAGAGGCCTCCCAGAACAGGGGCATGGGAGTGGGAGTTTTCTGGGAATGGCAGCAAGAGTGCCCCTGTGTGCTCGAGTTCTGAGCCTGCAGATTAGGAAGGTGAACTTTTAGTCCCAGGATTGCTATTAGAGTCACCAAGATGCAGCTGCTTGGGGCCCAGCACAGAGCAGGTGATCAGTGGATTTCAACTCTATCTGAGTGGAGGAGGAAGGTGGTGCTGGGGGCTAAGGATCTGCCTCCCAATTTGGGTCTCCCCTCCCCTTCGTTCTTCTAGTCCTACCTTAATTGCCTACTTTGGGCCTTGAGGTTTGGTTCCCCAGGAGGATATGGGGGAAGACAGCAGGTCCCACTTCCTTCCTCAGTAACAGTAACCGTATGTATGTTGCCCCTACTTGATGCCAGCATCGGCTGGGCCCGTCATTTTGTTTCATCCTCAAGAGGAGCTCCCAGCTCCACTTCCCACACTAGTGAATAGAGGCTCAGAGCAGTGAAGTGACTTGTCCAGGCTCACACAGCAATCTGGATTGGAACCCATGTCTTTTCGTCTCTAAAGCTCTCTGTGTGAGGAAGTGCTCCCTGCAGACCAAGCTGGTCTTCTGTCCAGGGGTTTGAATTGTTCCTCCCCAGGCAGACATGAAGCTCCTGGAGCCCAGGGTCTGCTCTCTCCTCTGTCTTTCCCCACAGCCCTCCCACAGGGCTGGGCACACAGGCTGTGGAGGCTTGTTTATCTTACTCAGAAGAACAAGTGTTTAAAATCGAGACTCAGATGGGTCAGCACTGTGGCCAAAATCACACAGCAAACCAGGGGTAGAGCTGGAGCTGTCCAGGATTCCACGGTTCTAAGGGTAGCTGTCCCCATTAGCTCTTCCTACTTCTCCTTTGAATCCAGCACTTCCCTCTCTGCCAGGACCAGGCTCCTTACCCATGTCTGTGCTACCGCCATGGCCTCATAGTCCACCCTCAGACCTGCCATGCCAGGCTCCTGCTCTTAGCTGTCCTCATCTTCTAAAGATAAGGTTTGCACTCCCAAGAAGGTCCCTCCTTATTGTCCTGGGCTTGTGGCCACTTGTTTCACTCCCAGCCCCCATCCCCACAAGATGGTCTCATGAACATGGCATCTCTTGCTCCCAGGCCTTTGCATGCGCCGACCCCCTTGCTCGCAGCCCTGTCCCTTTGCCTGGTACTCGCCCTTCAGAGTGGCCAGATCAGGCATCACTTCCGGGAAGCCTTCTCAGGCCCCAGGAAGGTTAGGCTCCCTCAGGGCTGCTGTGGAGTCTAAGCTTCCCCCATCATACTCTGACGACACTGGGATTATAATACTCAGTTTACACACAATGCTCTAGACCCTCACTGTCCGACAGAAATATAATGTGAGCCACAAGTGCACGCCACATATGCAATGTGAAATTTTCTAGAGGCCATGTTACAAAAAGTGAAGCTGGTAAAAATAATTTTATTTTATTTTATCCAATATATCCAAAATATTATCATGTAATCAATATAACAATAACTGGGATATTTTATGAGCTATCATTAATATTAATGAGGTATTTTACATTCTTTTTTGTATCATGTCTTTTAAATCCATGTACACTACCTTTTACACTTACATTTCTACTTGGACTAACCACATTTCAAGTGCTCAGTGGCCACATGTGGTGAGTGGCTACTGCAGTGGACAGTGTAGCTATGAGCCTCCGACAGGCAGAAGCCATGCCTGAGTCTTCTGTCTGGGTCCCCAGCACCCACTGCTTGCCCCAGGGAGAGCAGCATAGTGTTGGTAAAGACCTGGGCTGGGAGGCCAGGCCCGGTGGCTCACACCTGTAATCCTAGCAATCTGGGAGGCTGAGTCCGGAGGATCGCTCAAGGTCAGGAGTTCAAGACCAGCCTGAGCAAGAGTGAGACCCCATCTCTACTAAATATAGAAAGAAATTAGCTAGACAACTAAAAATATATAGAAAAAATTAGCCGGGCATGGTGGCACATGCCTGTAGTCCCAGCTATTCAGGAGGCTGAGGCAGGAGGATTGCTTGAGCCCAGGAGTTTGAGGTTGCTGTGAGCTAGACTGACACCATGGTACTCTAGCCCCAGGCAACAGAGTGAGACTCTGTATCAAAAAAAAAAAAAAGACCTGGGCTGGGAGCTCAGCTTTGTCACTTAACAGCTGTTACATTGCCTGATCCCGATGGGCCTTGCTCACTAGTCTGTAAAGTGATGATAATATTTTCAATATGGTTCAGTATGTTAATATGAATTAAATATCTTTATGAATACAGTTTACAGATTTTTGTAGATATAAAACTGAAGGTGCGGGAGGCAGAAACAGCCTGTCCAGTGAGTACACAGGGTATGTGGAGGACAGTACTCCTTCCCCTGGATCTTTCTCCCTGGCTTCCTGACCTAGTTGAATTTGGGGTCCAGGTCTATGCCCACATTCTCCCTCTCAGACCCCAGGTCTGTAGTGGGGTCAGATGGGCAAGGAGGCGGGAGACTTGCTCTAGTCTAACCCTGGCAGCTCCAGGGGTTGATGACTGTTGCGCTAGCTGTAGGTTTTATAATGTTCTCAGGAATGATGGTCTGGAGACTGGACTGGAGATTTGGTTAGTGGGCAGGGGCTGCAGGGGCGTGGCAGGGCGAGCACAGGGCCAGGCTATTGTGGGCATCACTTGTTGCTGCCCACTGATCCCTTCAGCCTAGGAGCTGTGTGTGTGCTGGGCTCCCTGGTTGTTTGCCAGGCTTGAGTCTGCATAGTCCATGGGGACCCATGGGGACAACAAGCCTGGCTACCACTCCTCTCTCCTCACACCTCTTCCCTCTGGGGCCTTGTGCCCCTTGGGGGCCCTTTTATGCTGCCACCCCAGTCTGGGTGGGCAGGTACCTTATCCACCTCTCCTGTGTCGCCAGTCCTTAGCACAGGGCAGGCACAGATGGGCTCTCACCTCAGTGAGTTAGTTGACTAAGTGAAATACTATGGCAGCCACAGGCTGCAGGAATTCATAGATGGCTAGAGCGTCTGCAGCACCTTCTGGGAGGAGATGAGCCTGGACCAGGTGAGATCTAGACAAGGGAAGGGGAAGAAGCAGGGGATGCTGGAATGGGCAGTGGTGTGGGCGGGTGCGGGCCATGCCCATGGAGCAGGTGATTAGCACAGCAAGAACCAGTGTTTACTGAGCACTTACTGTGTGCAGTATATGCATCTCACTGATTCCTCACAATCTCCCCATGAGGACAGTTCTGCCATCATCCCCAAGGACAGGTGAAAACGCTGAGGCTTAAGAGGGTTACAAAGTCCCACAGCTGATAAAAGCCAGAGCTGAGATCGCAGCCCTGGCCGCTGGCTTCAGAGCTGCTGTTTCACTAGACGTCAGCATCAGCGTCAAGGTCCCAGTTTACCAAACCCTCGCAGGCCCAGCGTCTCCTCACAACCTTCTGCCTGTGCTATGGGTCGTGGCCCCTGCTCTGGTAGCAGAGAGAGAGGCTCAGCATGAGCCCTGTGCTCGTGGCTGCTCAGCTCAGCAGTGGACGTGCCCCGAGCGCCGCTGGACACTCGCTGCTGCGCCTCCTGCTCTCTTAATGGAGCGCAGTGCTGTGTGTAGTCCCACAGCAGCGACGGTGGCTCCCCACCACCTCACGGGTGCCAGGCGCTTTGCATCTGCTACCTTACTCCTCACAGAAGCTATGAGTTTAGATGTTTATCTGCATTGTATAAATGAGGAAACAGGCTCAGCGAGGTGATGCTACTCGGTAGAGGTGGGACTCGAACTGGAGTGTATGGGACTTCAGAGTCATTATCCCTGAGCTACCACCTGTCACAATTGACACATATCAGAGATGTTGTCTAAGTGAGTCCTTGTGAAGGGAACTCAGAGACCCAGCCTTGAGCCCAGGTCCAGGGGACTGCTGGGACAGTAGCACCCAGCACCTTTCTCCGTGGGCCTGCCACCATCCCCGGCACCCCTCCCCCTGGCGCACCAGGGGACCATGCTGGGGAGTGGTCTCCTGCAGGGGCAGTGGTCACGTGCACACATCAGGCCCTGGTGAAGGCGGCTGAGGGCATGAATATCAGGAATGGAACTTGGGAGGCCGTGCGGGCAGCAGCGGCTCCGTGCACTGATGCTGTCCCTGTGCCAGGCTCTGGGCTTGGCCTACACCCGGACACAGAGAGCTGCTCACCCACTTGTGTGGGAAAAAGACAGCTTCATTATTCACAGCCCAACTAGTGCTAAGCCCTGGGGGAACACAGCCATGGACAGCCCTGGGCATCCCCTCCCCAGTCATCACATCGGAGTTGGTTCCGGGAAAAGAAGTTGCTGATTGCGCAAGAGAGGGGACAGGCATTCCAGGCAGAAGGAACAGCATGTGCAAAGGCCTGGAGGAACTATGCAATCCAGGGGTCCTCAAACTTTTTAAACGGGGGGCCAGTTCACTGTCCCTCAGACCGCTGGAGGGCCGTTGGGGAGTGCAGCGCACATTCCACACATGCGCACTGTGGGCCCGGATGAGTCGGCTGCTAAGCAGGACAGGCAGCGGCAGCAAAAACACCCGGCGGGCCAAATAAATGTCCTTGGTGGGCCGCATGTGGCCTGTGGGCCGTAGTTTGAGGACCCCTGCAATAGCCCATATAAAATAACTGGGGGCAGCTGAGGTGAGGAGTTGGAAGAGAGGCAGGGCCAAGTCCTGAAGGTTCGTGAACGGCCAGCTGCAGAGCTGGGATGCACCCTGCTGGTGCTGGCTCGCCATGGCCCATGGCTGCTGGGAGAGGGACAGGCTCCCAGCACCGCATGTGCCAGGGTAGCAAGAACTCACCAAAGTCCTGGTTGTACCTTAGCTTCCCCTTCTGGGAAACAGGGGTGCAGTTTCCTTAGGGCTAGGCCTGGTGAAGGTTGCAGAAGGTTTTGCAGACCTGCCTAAGGACAGGGCTTCAGCTCACCCCCGCCCCTCCAGAGGGCAGCCTGCTGGGGGTTGGGCTGGGGAGGGAGTAGATGAGCTGGGTGCTGAGGACAGGGCCCAGAGTGGGCACTGCTTTGTGCCTCGGAGGGCCCCATCATGACATTTGAGGGTCCTAGCTGTGTGCCCAGTGTACCCAACGGGTTAGGGCAGCCCTGGTGTCACGGTGGGTCTGACCTGACCCCTCCTGCAGGCACCATGGCCTGGAGCAGGGCACTGCTGTTCCTGCTGCTGTTGCCGCCACAGCTGCACCTAGGACCTGTGCTGGCAGTGAAGGCCCCGCCGTTTAGCCGAAGTGGTGGCCATAGCCTGAGCCCTGAAGAGAATGAATTTGTGGAGGAGGAGCCGGTGCTGGTCCTGAGCCCTGAGGAGCCAGCGCCTGGCCCAGCCACAATTGACTGCCCCCGAGACTGTGCCTGTTCCCAGGAGGGTGTTGTGGACTGTGGCGGCATCGACCTGCGTGAGTTCCCGGGGGACCTGCCTGAGCGCACCAACCACCTGTCTCTGCAGGTGAGGTCACCAGGGCTGCCCCTCCTGCACATGTGGCTTCCAGAACCCCCAGCACTCACTGCAACCTATTCACCCAGAACCCCCAGGACTTGTGGCCCCCACCACCAGATACAGGGCGCTAGGGAGGTCACATTTAGAGGCTTGGAGGGTTACAAAGTCCCACAGCTGATAAGAGTCGGAGCCGAGATCGCAGCCCTGGCCGCTGGCTCCAAAGCTGCTGTTTCACCAGATATCAGGTGAGTCCTGGACCCACTCGTGTGGCACCTCTCCTGATGTCGCCATCACAGAGCACTGTGATATTACAACCTGCTTTGTCACTTAGAGGAGTCTGGGCTGAGGCCCGCTAAGGCTCTGTCTGAAAATGGACAAAGACCTGCCCTGCAGCCGACCCTCTGAATAGACAGTCAGGGCACCACAGATACCATTACAGGGCCAGGAAAGTCAGAGCGAGGCAGGGCCCGACTGGAGTACTCTGTGGCCTCGGAGGACAGAGAGCTCTCTCCAGCTGAGGGCAGACTAGATTTTGGACATTGAAGGGACATGGTGTTTCAGACTGGGAGGACTCGGGGAGCGCAGGTGTAACCATCATAGCCTCATGTGGCCCAGTGGCCCTGGGGGAGAGGGAGGGGCTGTCACACCCACTTCCAGAGGAGCTCAGTCCAGAGAGAGAATGTGACCGGCCTGCGCCCACACACTGGTGGGTCTGGGCTGGCAGCTGTGGGAGCCCAAGGCCAGGGTAGCCAACGAGGGAAGGGGACACGTTGAGGACAGCTCTTACCGTTGGTTCATCTGCTCATTCATTCATACACAAACTGTCCCTTGGGTACCTGCTCCATGCCTCAGGTCCCATGCTGGGTCCTGGGCAGGCAGGGAAGACTTGAATGCATTCTGCCTTTCAGGTGCTCGTGGCCTGTGGGCGAGGCAGAGACCTAAACAGGTAGAGCTGTCAGATAGAAATGGAAGGACTTGCACTAGGGGCCCAGAGCAGGCTCCTGGTCCAGCCCCAGTCCATCCCAGGAAGGCTTCTGGAGGAGGTGGCACCTACCTAGGTTTTAAAGTGTTCCAAGGACAGAGGGGACTGCAGGGCTAAGAAAGGGAAGCAAAAGTGGTTTCTGGCTTGGATAACAGCCGTGGCTGCCTGTCACCAAGTGGGAACACTCAGGGAGCGGGTCTGGGGGGAGATAGCATGCCCGTGGATGTCCACACGTGGGCTCCTTGAAGGCAGGACCCACACATCTGTGCGCCCATGTCCAGGCCTGGACCAGGTTCTGTCTGCCATGGGGGAGCATCCCAAGGGAGGGGCCCAACTGAGGGACTGGCTCCTGCCACTGAAGCTAAGGGCAGGGGCAGCAGCCCTGGGCACCCCAGGCTGACACTGCCTCCTTCTGTGCCGCACCCCCAGAACAACCAGCTGGAGAAGATCTACCCCGAGGAGCTCTCTCGGCTGCACCGGCTGGAGACGCTGAACCTCCAGAACAACCGCCTGACTTCCCGAGGTGAGAGGTCACCCAGAGCCCAGGATTAGGGACCAGGCGGGACTCAAGGGCCTGGGTAGTGCTGGGTGCCCCTGGGGAGAGCTGGGCCCTGCACATCCGGGGTGTGGAAAGAGCAGGCCTGGGCCGGCTGGCGGAGGGCTGCATGAGGACCAGCTCCACACGGGCAGCGGCTCCCTGTTGTTGCCAGAAGCCTTCCTGGGTGTATCTGAGGGCAGAGGCTTCAGGGAAGCTTAGCTTGCTAGGACCTTGTCATAGGACCTTCAATTCAGAGGGCTTTAGAATCAGAGTTGTAGAGTCCTTCAATTTTAAACTTGTTTTTTTTCCCTGATGATGAAAATGATACATGATTAGGATAGAGAATTAGGAAAATAAAATGGAAAGAGAAAACCAGTGATGATTATGCCACTTGGAATTAATCACTATTGATAGTCTGGTATATTTCTTTCCATTTCTGAAAAAGCAACTTTCTTGAGGTATAATTTATATGCCATAACATTTACCTAATATTAAGGTATAATTTTATGTGTTTTAGTAAGTTTATGCAGTTGTGCAGCCATCACCATAATCCAATCCAGTCTTTTCGTGTGTGTGTGTGTTATTAAACCCAAAGCTGAGCCACACTATAGATACTTTCACCCTAGCAAGTAGGTCAGCAGCATTTTTCATGTTGCTAAACACTCTCACCATCATTTCACACGGCAGCAGCAGGGTATTCCGTGGAGGGACGCTGTACAGTTTATGTAACTGTTCCCTCTTGTTAGACACTTGGGTGAGTCCCAGCGTCCGGGGGTCTTGGAGCCCGGAACCGAGAGTCAGAGGCCAGCCTCCGGCTGGAGAAAGACCAGCCTGGCCGGGCTCCCAGTAACAGCGCAGTCCTGACACTGCATCGGCCAGATGGGGCAGGGTGAGCCAGGTGGCGGGGAGGCCGCAGCTCTGTGCCGCACGCAGCCCTTCCTAGTGCAGCCCCACCTGCCCATAGCTGCAGAGGGGCTCTGAGCCCTCTGGGGCTGTCCCTGAGGGGAGGACCCCTTCCTGGCAGGAAGGGCTCAGGCTGGGTCCTGTGCTGGTGGCTTGCCCTGACCAGAATCATCCCCAGTCAGGGTGAGGAATCATTCACTCCCTCAGCAGACACTTGACTGTTTGTTCCTCTGAGCTCGGGCTTGTATGATGAGCAAGGAGGACAAAAATGGGGTTGGGCAGGCGCCTTGGGACCAATTGGGAAGGGATCCGAGCTGCCTCCGCCTCCCCCCGTCATGGGAAGTGGGGTGGGCGCTCGCTGTGCTCCCTCGTGGCGTCCCTCATCCAGGGCCCTGACCTACGCCTGTCCTTTCAAGGGCTCCCAGAGGAGGCGTTTGAGCATCTGACCAACCTCAATTACCTGTACCTGGCTAACAACAAGGTGAGGGGCTTGAGGCAGGAGGGGTGTGCCGCTCTGTCCTGGAGTTGTCTTCCCTGAGTCCCATGAACTTCACCAGGGCCTTTTCTGGGCTGTCCACTGGGTTCCCGTCGCTGCTTAGACATGGCCCTGAGTGGCGGGTGAGGGAGACACAGACCCCCGTCTGTAACTCAGGGCATCAGAGTGTGTCAGAGGATGGAGACAGAGGCCGAACCCTACAGGAGTGTAGGGAAGGTAGAGCTTGTCGCCACTGGGGAGGAGGCACTTAGAGGACTTCCTGGAGGAGATGGCATTTGAGCAGAGCCATGAAGGGTAACAGAATTCCAGCCTGGGGAGGGGGGCTCTGCAGTAGAAGGGACAGCATGAGTGAAAGCACAAATGCACTAAAGCTCAAAATATTTGGTGTGCTCTGGCATTCTGTCCCCTTCTCTCTCTGAACTCTCCCGGGGTGACCTGCTGCCTCCCAGGCTTTGACTCCCATCTGCATCGTGGCCATGTCCAGTGGCTGTCTCCAACCCTTTCTAATCCTCTGGCCTGAGACTCAAAGATCTCCTACCGACTTGACGTCTCCCCCAGAGTCTAATGGAAGTAGGACACTGCTTCCTGCCCATAGCCCCCAAACCGAATCCCCCTCCACCTTTCCCTTGCTGTAAAGGGTATCTCCAGCCATCTATGGCACCACTGGCCCCAGTCACAGCGAGGAGTGTGTCTGGATTCTGGCTCCTCACCCAGGTGCAGGCCCACTGCAAGTTCCCAGTCCCCACGGGCACTGGCCCACCTGCAGTCCTGCCTCCTCACCTGCCTCCCCATTGTCCTCATAGCAGCCTTTAAAAGCCACACCTGCTGCTACCCCTTGCCCTCCCAGGTTAACCCTGGAGGCTAGCCAGGCAGGGGACAGGTCCAAAGGGCTTTGAATACCAAGTTAAGGGTTGCGGGGAGCCAGGGAGGTTTTGCTTTTGTTCCATGAGGGGAGTGGGACAGGTTTCCATTTTAGAAAGAGGGCCCTGATTGCCGGGAAGACACAGGGAAGGGGCCCTCATAAGCAGCAGGTAGTGGGACCTAGGGCTGGCCTCTGCTCCTCCAGTGGTTTTTTGGCCCCAATGCTTCCCTTTCCAGCTGACCTTGGCACCCCGATTCCTGCCAAACGCCCTGATCAGCGTGGACTTTGCTGCCAACTATCTCACCAAGATCTACGGGCTCACCTTTGGCCAGAAGCCAAACTTGAGGTCAGAGGTCAGAGGGATGACCCTGGGGTTGGGCTGGGGACAGGGGAGGGGCTGAGGTGGAGGCTGTCTGCCCAGTGCAAGGCACAGACAGGCCCTGGCGAAGGGGCTTGCCGTGGAGTGGGCGACACTTGGGGGCTGGAGGAGCACAGGAGGACTGGTTCAGGAGTCAAGGACAGAGTGTTGCCTGCAGGAATTGTGGGGAGCTGGGGGAGGATGCCCCCCACTTCCCAGCCCCTAGGGGAGGGAAGCCTCTTCCAACAGGCAGAGCTGCCCTGCGCTGGGGCTGCCTTGGGAGGAGTGAGCCCCCGGCACAGGTGTGCGAGCTGGGCGGGGCGGTGCTGGGGCGGGGCAGGGGCTGTGGTGGAGCCTCCTCCAGGAAGGAGGTTGGGCTGGACAACCCCAGCGCTGCTTCTGTCCCTGAATCTGTCATCTCTCTTGACTCCATCCGCCTGAGGACCTAGGGTCACTGTGCATGGCCCCATCCCACAGATGAGAAGGCTGAGGCGCAAGAGAGGCTGCACAGCGAGACTGAGCTATATCTTATACACATGCATCTTGTCCCTTGTCTCCCTTCTTCTAGTATGTTAGCTCCACGAGGGCACAGTCTTATTGATTGTGCCCATGGGTAGGTCTTCGGAGTCTAGAACAGTCCTGGCACATAGCATATATTTATTTGTTTATATTCATAGTCTGTACATGTGCATATATATTTAATATATTATATAATATACTCACTGTACATTTGCTGACTGAATGAGGATCACCTCCTCTAAGACAGGCCCTGTGCTGGGCACCAGGGACAAAGGCAGATGGGGATAGGCCCTGTGTTCAGGAAGCCCCGGAGAACTCAGAGCCAGGCTACTTGGGGGAGACAGGCAGGGAAACAGAAGCTGAGAGGGAGGGAAGGACTCTGGGCTGCAACAGCTGGGGGCCAACTGAGAACCTTGAAAGGTGTGGAGGAGCCTGGACTGGGAGTCAGGAGATCCTATCTCTGCCACTAACTTATGGGACCACCTCTGGCCGGGCACTGCCCCTTCTGGTCCTTGGTTCTCTCAGCTGTGTGGGCAGGGTCTGTGGCTCTCCTAACTGCACCCTTGGGTTTGGATGGGGGGAGAGTGCCCTGGGATCTAGAATTAGCCCGAGCAAGGGTTTGGAGGCTCACCAGGTGAGCTGGCTTAGGGGGCGGGGGAGCCCAGGTGGGGTGAGGACCTGTGCCTCGACCCCCAGGTCTGTGTACCTGCATAACAATAAGCTGGCGGATGCCGGGCTGCCAGACAACATGTTCAACGGCTCCAGCAACGTCGAGATCCTCATCCTGTCCAGCAACTTCCTGCGCCACGTGCCCAAGCACCTGCCGCCTGCTCTGTACAAGCTGCACCTCAAGGTAGGGAGGGGAGAGGGAAGGGAGGAGAAAAGTAGACCCCATGGCCAGGCACCAGGGCAGGGACCTGCAGGGGGAAGAGGTCAGGCCTGTATGGGCACAGGCACTGCCCAAGCGGGGCTGGGGGGCTGAGAGCACAGAGCCACTGTGTAGAAGCGGGCAGAGCCTGGGCACCTGGTCTTTGGTGTGGCTTGTGTTAGGGGAGCGGTCAGCACCACACCTGGGATTCGCCAGGCCTGGGTCCCCTCCCGGTGGCTCCCCAGACCCTTCTCCATATCTCATCCTGAGGGCCTGACCTTGCCCCTCGGCCTACCCTCACACTCCCCTCCCTTCCTTCCCACCCTCAGAACAACAAGCTGGAGAAGATCCCACCAGGGGCCTTCAGCGAGCTGAGCAACCTGCGCGAGCTGTACCTGCAGAACAACTACCTGACTGACGAGGGCCTGGACAATGAGACCTTCTGGTGAGTCCCCCTCTCACCAGATCCTAGTGTGACCGTGTGCCCAGCAAGCTCCTCTTGGGGCCACCACTCAGCCACACCGTCTCACACACACCCCTTGCCCACCTCCTCTGGCCGGTTTCACTGGAGAAGGAACTTTGGGCTTGTGCCTCTGTTGACATTTCTGTTCCTAAGAGCAAATAATAGTATAGGCAAGGCCTGCCAAGATTCCAGTGAGGCAGGGCAGTGTGTGTGGAGGCTGGCTTCTTGGTACAAAATACAAACTCAAGCATTCTTGTTGAAAGCAAATGTATTTTCATTTTCTAAGGCGCAATGTAGCCATAAAAGGCTAACGAAGGTTAAACAGTGTCTTCGAATAAACTCCTTCCCATACCAATGTATCATTGAGTCAACCCGTGGGAGGCTCAGAGAGGACTGAGGCCCCTAGTGAGTTGAGTGGCAGAGCTGGGATGAATGAGAAGCGGTTCCCCTGCTACTTCCCCTGGGAAAACGGTGGAAACAAGCGCAGTGTGCGCTCCTGCCAGCCATGCTCATTCCCTGCCTCCCCCAGGAAGCTCTCCAGCCTGGAGTACCTGGATCTGTCCAGCAACAACCTGACGCGGGTCCCGGCAGGGCTGCCACGCAGCCTGGTGCTGCTGCACCTGGAGAAGAACGCCATCCAGCGCGTGGACGCCGACGTGCTGACGCCCATCCGCAGCCTGGAGTACCTGCTGCTGCACAGCAACCAGCTGCGCGCGCACGGCATCCACCCGCGGGCCTTCCAGGGCCTCAAGCGGCTGCACACGGTGCACCTGTACAACAACGCGCTGGAGCGCGTGCCCAGCGGCCTGCCCCGCCGCGTGCGCACCCTCATGATCCTGCACAACCAGATCACCGGCATCGGCCGCGACGACTTCGCCACCACCTACTTCCTGGAGGAGCTAAACCTCAGCTACAACCGCATCACCAGCCAGGAGATGCACCGCGACGCCTTCCGCAAGCTGCGCCTGCTGCGCTCGCTGGACCTGTCCGGTAACCGGCTCCACACGCTGCAGCCCGGGCTGCCCCGCAACGTGCATGTGCTGAAGGTCAAGCGCAACGAGCTGGCTGCCCTGGCGCGCGGGGCGCTGGCTGGCATGGCCCAGCTGCGTGAGCTCTACCTCACTGGCAACCGACTGCGCAGCCGGGCCCTCGGCCCCCGCGCCTGGGTGGACCTCGCTGGTCTGCAGGTAAGGCGGACTGGAGAGGACCGGGCCATGGCCGTGAGGGGCAGTACTGGCGCAGCTGCCCTGAGCACCCATCTGCTGGGCCGGGTGAAGGGGCGGGTAGGCAGGAGGGTGGGCAGTGAGGGAGATTCCTCTGGTATGGGCAGCCTGAGCGCATTCACCTTCAGGTGTTTCTGGAGAGGCTGGGTAGGGGGAGGTAGACCACCCAGAGGGTGTGGCTGGCATGTCTGTGTCAGCCCAGCCTACCTGCGGGGACAGCTGGTGTGGCCAGGCTGAGCTCACCACCTACAGATGCAGGGCTGTGGTGGGAAAGGGTGGTCAGGGCTGCAGGCAGGGCCTGTGGTTCAGCAGGAGTGGAGACAGCCTGGGAATCGGTGCGTGGAGAAGGCAGGGGCTCTAGGTGGAGATGGTGGGGTGGGGGTGGGCTGACCTCATCAGTCTGCGGAGGGCTAGGGGAGTCTACTCTGGTGGCATTCGGGCGTGGGTGTGACTGCTGTGGCCATGTGGTCAGAGTCAGGCAGGGATGTCTAGGCCCATGAATCCAGCCTCCTCAGATAACAGGTGAAACCTCCCAACTCTATGAGCATTGTTGAAAAATTCATCAGAGAAGCTGGGCAGGAGGACAAGGTACTACCAGGTCAGGAACTGACGGCCACTCCAGTGGCTCCTTGCTGGCCCTACCAGGTTGTGCTCTGCACACCCAGACTGAAGGCCTCTGCATTGCTGTCCTCTCTGCCCCAGATGTCCTAGGGCTCTACTCAAATGTTACCTCCTTGGGAGGCCTTCCTTCACGTTCTGGCCTTCCTCTGCCTTGTTTTTCTTTATAACCCTCATCCCTTCTGGACACTAGGTTGTCTGTTTGCTTGTTTATTGCCAACTCCTCGAGCTAGGATAAGGAGCAGGCCTTGAGGCTGTTGTGTCACTGCAGGCCCACAGCCAGTGCCTGTGGAGGGACGGCTGAATGGTCTGCGGAAGGCCAGTGGGTTGTTGCAAGGTCAGGGTGTCTGAGTAGAGGGCAAGGGAGAGGCCCAGAGGGTGGGGAGGCTGGGGGAGGGGCTGGATAGTAGAGCAGGGTGGGGCAGGGTGGGGCAGCTGTTCCTGCAACAGCGGGGGGGGGGGGGGGGGGGGTGTTGGGGGGAGCTCTCCTTCCCAGCCCCCGCTGCTGAGACAGTATCCCACCATCGGTGCTGTCTCTCTCGCACATTCTTCAGGAGCTCTTCCCCATGTCCGCTCCTACTACACTTTCTAGCTCGCTGAAGGGACACGATGACATCTACCAGGTGCCCACAAGAAGCCTGGAAGCCCCCTTGACATCCCCTTTTTCACCACTGCCCCTGCCAACAGCCCCTCCTCGCCGCCTAACCCTGCCATTCTGCCACCACATCCCTGCGGCCTGCATCTGAGGCCGGGCCGCCCATTTCCTTCCCGGGCCTCATCCTCCGAGGAGCCCTCCACTGCCGTATTCCATGTACAGTCAAGGGCAGCTTGAAAAACAAATGCCCGTCTCATGCTCCTGCCCAGAACCCTTCTGCGGCTCCCCATTGTCCTTAGAACCCAAGCCAGACCCCTTGCTGTGGCCTTTGAGGCCTGCTCTGCCCCTGCTCCCAGCTCATTCTGGCCCCTCTTCCCTGGGGACAGCTACTTGTTCACTCATTCATTCCACAAGCCTGTGCCAAGCCCCCAGCGTGCCAGACGTAGGTCTGGGACTGGGGGCCCAGCGGGGGCCCAGCGGGGCAGATGGAGGCCCCTGCCCTTCTGGAGCGCGTACTTAGGACTCCGCTCAAGTGTCACCTTCTCTAGGAAGCCCCCGCCTCTCTACCAATGATGGGCAGGACAGATGCCTCCCTGGGCTGGACCAGGGATGTCTGGTGAGGGTGGGGGCCTCTTCCTCATGCTAGATCTTTCTGCAGGCACCTGCTCCCGCTACTCCAGAGCCCCGCCCTGTGCTGCCTGCCTTCTACTCCCCCAGAAAGCTTCCCCTGCCCCAAGGCTGGGTCAGGACCCTCCCCTGGACTTTCTCATCACAGCCCAATCCCACAGGCTTGTCATCGTCATATTTTGTGTCCATCTCCACTGCCAGACTGGCTTCCTGACAGTGGCAGTGTCTCAGTGGGTTCCCTGTCCCCTGTGCCCATGGGCACGAAGGGTGTTTGGCATGTGGTGAAGAAATGTTGCGGGAGAGATGCGTGGAGGGTGCTGAGTGCTTGGCCACACAGTGGGAGGCAGGGAGCTCTGCTGGGTAGGGGAGGTGGCAGGGAGGCTCCCAAAGGATGAAGCTTGTGCTCCCCTTGAATCCTGACTTGCCTGGCTCTCTGGATTCACCGCCTCTGGTTCCCAGCCCTGAACCCGCCTCTCGGTGTGTGGAAGGTGGCTTAGGGACCACAGAGTACCCCTGGGCTGCACAGGTGGTGGGTTGGGAAAGGGTGGCCTCAGACAGAGCCAGTGCACGCCCAGCTCTCCTGACACTGCATTTGTCCTGCACCCTGGGAAGCCCATCCCCACCTCCCTGGCTGCCGGCTCGGGACCCCAGGCACGTGGTGATTGAGAATGACCAACCGGGGGCCTAGCTGCTGTGCTGGGGTCACTGTGGGCCTCACACCCTCACTCCTAGCTCCTGCACACTGTTTCCTGAGGCCCTTAAATTAGCAGCCCCACCCACACACCTCCCATCCAGGACCAGAGGGGTGTGATTCAAAGGCTGGAGGATCCCTGGTCTCTGCCCGTCTGAAGTCTTTAGTCTGATGGGAATAACAAGTGTTTTAAGAAGGAAGGACTGTGACACCCAAACGTCTGGGCTGTGAATTGTGTGGGAAGGCAGAGGGGCTGGGTAGGACAGGGAGCAATTAACAAGGGTTTGGGGTCAGGTGCACTGGGTTCCAGCCTCTTATAGGCTGTATAGCCTTGGACAGATCACTCAAACTCTCTGAGCCTGTTTCCCCACCTGGAAAATGGGGATAGTTATAGACTTCCTCCTCCCTGCTCCCAACAGGGTTATCATTAGATTTAGATAAGCTAGGGACTTGCTAGGGGTTTTATAAGCTATTAAGTGCTTTGCACAGGTGGGAGTCCCTGACTCCCTTGGTCACCCCTGCAGTTGCTGGACATTGCTGGGAACCAGCTTACAGAGATCCCCGAGGGGCTCCCCGAGTCACTCGAGTACCTGTACCTGCAGAACAACAAGATTAGCACCGTGCCTGCCAATGCCTTTGACTCTACACCCAACCTCAAGGGCATCTTTCTCAGGTAGGAGGTCCCAGTGGCCCCTCATACACCCCCTTGGGGCCTGCCCCAGCTCTGGAGGGACATTCGAGGTACCCGGGAACAATTGCAGGTGGAGGTCAGTGTTCAAAGATCATTGGTCCCACCACTGACTGGCTGTGTGACCATGAATGGGTCACAGGACCCCACCGAGCCTCTGTTTTCTCAGCTCTCAAGGGTGGGGACAGTCCTGGCCAGGCCTGATATGGTTTGTAGGTTTGTAAAAAGGCTTTGGAAACTTTAAAAACTAGTGCACACAGGTGTTGTTAGTGTTAGTGCGGCAGGAAGGGACCCCAGACAGCATCTTCCTGATTCATAGCTGAGAAAGCTGAGGCCCAGAGAGCACAGGTGACTGCTGTGTCCAGAAACATCTGGCAATAGCTGTGCAGGTCCTGGCTGGGCTGTAGGGCTGGGGCTAGGGTTCAAAATGGGTCAGAGGACCCCGCTCAGGAAGATCTGAGGGACTTCCATGCAGCAGAGCCAGGGTGGTTCTTCCCAGCACCTGCCACCAGCCCTGCCCCCAGATCAGAGAGAGAGAGAGACAGAGCAGAGCAAAGGTCCACTCCCAGGGGCTCTGTGGCCCAGAGGCCCAGGGCTTGGTGACACTGGGTGGTATGACACATGCCTCAGGCTTCTGCAGGGGAGCTGAGGTGGAGAGCTGAGGGGCCTGAGATCAGAGCCCCTGCCTCCACCTGCCTATGCTGAGTGTCCCATGCCTCCGTCCCATGCCACACCAGGCACCTTGGTGGCACCAGGCTGCCTAGCCCAGGAGCCTCAGATCTGGGGTAAATGCCAGAGGTGGGCAGAGAGCCCTGGAGCTTTCACTCCTGACATAGCAGTGAAAGTGTATGCAGACAGGGACCCCTTGCTTTGTAGGGGACTTGCCCCATGCCAGCCCCTGTCCCGGGCTGTGGCTACCCTGAACAACTTGTACTTTCCATCACACACAGTGCCTCGCTGTGCCACCGTCCCTCCCCTTTCACCTCTAGGGATGTAGGCAGGGGACTCTGGTCGGGCTCCTGGCATTGACCCTGGCTGGACGGCTCGCACAGGTTTAACAAGCTGGCCGTGGGCTCTGTGGTGGACAGTGCCTTCCGGAGGCTGAAGCACCTGCAGGTCTTAGACATTGAAGGCAACTTTGAGGTTGGTGACGTTTCCAAGGACCGTGGCCGCTTGGAGGAGGAAGAAGAAGAGGATGAAGAGGATGAGGAGGAAGAGGAAATGAGATAGTGGCAAGGTGACACAGACCTGACCTCGGTAGGTGGTCTGTGTGGGGGCAGCATTCACCCCTCCTCACCAAACTGTCTTGTCCCTGAACCCAGTCTAGGGTCTTTCTGTCTGTTTTTCAGCCTGTGTCCTCTGCTTCATCTATTCGTTTTTTGTTGTTGTTGTTGTTTTTTGAGACAGAGTCTCAGTCTGTTACTCAGGCTAGAGTGCCGTGGCATCAGCCTAGCTCACAGCAACCTCAAACTCCTGGGCTCAAGCAATCCTCCTGCCTCAGCCTCCCAAGTAGCTGGGACTACAGGCATGCACCACCATGCTCAGCTAATTTTTTTCTATATGTTTTTAGTTGGCCAATTAATTTCTTTCTATTTTTAGTAGATATGGGGTCTCACTCTTGCTCAGATTGGTCTTGAACTCCTGAGCTCAAACGATCCACCTGCCTCGGCCTCCCAGAGTGCTAGGATTACAGGCGTGAGCCACTGTGCCTGGCCTCATCCATGCATTTGGCAAATTTATAAGAGTACTTGGGACACACCAGGCTGTGGCTGAGAGGCTGGGGTGTAGCAGCAAGCTCACAGGAGGCCTGCACATGCCAGAGGATTCTAAGCCAGGATGATGAGTGCCGTAATGGGAGCTTCCCTGGGCATGGGGGGTTGGACACGTGGTTCTGGGGCTGGAGACTAGATTTCCAGATGTTGTCAGCCTTCAATCTCTGAAGCTGCAGGGGGCTGGGGGCTGCTTGCCAGGGGAGTGAGTGAGGAGGGCAGGCGCAGTGAGAGGGGAGGCTGCAGAGGAGACTGAGGTGGAGCCAGTAGGAAAGGATGTAGGAAAACCACGGACTACCACGGGCAGAGTGTGTTTGCACACGTATGTAACACAAGCACCCACACATGTGCACAAATGTACACATGCACCAACACATATTTATAGGCACATATGCCTAAACATGTAGTACATTCACAAAGCACACACAGAATACACACCACACACATGTGCACAGAGACACACACATGCTTGTTGTACTCCATGACACATTTGTAGGCACAGACTATGTACATACTTATATGCACATGTATGCATGCATTTGAATATATCAACACATACACCCCCATGCATACCCATGTACACAGGCCCTCACATGCACATGTATGTGCACACACTCATGCACACATGATATGTACATGCACCAGCTTCTTCAGAAGTGGGGAGAATCAGCCGTGTCACTTCTGCTGAAAGGCTGAGGGCACTGAGCACTGGTGGGGGCCACTGAATTTGTCTACACAGGTCATCTGTGACTTTGTAGGAGTGGCTGCAGGGGGAGATGGGATCGGGAGAGTAGCTGGAAAGGAAGTGGATCTAGGGAGTATAGACAATCCTTTTAAGAAGTTTGGCTGTGAAGAGAGAGAGAGAGAGAGAGGGTGGCAGTGGGTAGGGGGGGTGGTGTTCAGGAAGGGCTCACTTCGTGTGATGCCTCTCTTGAGGGATGGAGCCGGCTTGGATGCTGATGGGAAGAGGCCGGTGTGTGTTGGGGGAACAGTTAATGACACAGAAGGAGGGTTAGGAGTGAAGGCCCCTGTGGGGACAGTAGGATGGCCTGGCTGTGGCAGGAGGGTCCACTGTGGCAGGGGGGCCGGAGGGCCAAGTGGGTGTAGTCATAGGCTGGTTAGCGGCTTGGTAGCTGGATGTGACGTCACGTCAACCCAATGCCTTCAGCCTTCTGTTTTCTCTGTGCAATAGCAGGTGCCCAGCAGACTGGGGGTGTGGAGAAGAGGGGCCACTTGGTTTTCAGCCAGGTGTATAGGACAGGAGGGCAAGGAACAAGGAAGCTGAGAGTACTGGCAAGACAGTGGCTGAAGTCGTGGGGCCTGGGGGTCAGGCTGGGTAGGGGAGCAGGTGCAGATGGAGGGGTGGGTGAGCAGGGACACAGAGGGGGCTGTCAGAGAGGGGGCACATGCTGGCTAGCCAGGGGAGAGGTGGTGTGGTCCCCTAGGGGCTATTGCAGGTTAGTTTTAGGGAGCCATGTGGGGGGTGGCCACAGGGCTAGGGTGTAGCCGGGAGGTCGATAGGCCACTGTCAGGATGCTGGCCTGGAGCAGAGAGGAGCCCGAGGGGCTGTTGAGGACCCTGTGGGCAGATGGCAGAGGGAGTTGAGGCGAGAGGCCCAGGCTGAAGACAGTGTGCGTGGGGAGGTTGTCCCAGCAGAGAGGGGCTGTCCTCACATGGAGTCAGGGGTCGGCGACAGGGTGGCTGGCCATTCAGTGAGGACACTATGGGCTTCACAGGAGGGGCTGCGGAATCCTGGGATGGGTGAGAATCCGTCCCCTCTGGAGGGCATTGGCCACAGGCAGGCCAATTGAACGGGTCCCTGGGAGGGGCCCCGAGGAGTGGCCAGTGGGACTCACGGCCTTCTGGTGCACTCTAGGCCACCCACATTGGCAGGAGCACCTCCCCGAGGGCAGCCCCGCTGCTCTGGACTCCCAGGGCAACTCCCTCCCCTCACAGTCAGCGGCCTTCCTAGAGCCCCTTCAAGCAGGGCTGCCCTCTGGTAGGACCCCCTGCAAGCTGGCTGTGGCTGGTGGGTCTGCTCTGAGCTGGATCCTGACTCTCCTACATGTTCTGCAGGACAATGGACCACCGGACTCCTTTCTGCAGCACACGCCTGTGCCCTGTGAACCCCCCATCCCGCCACACTCACATGGTCACACCCAGGGCTGCACCCACGGGGCATCCCACACAACACGGCCTGAGCACAGCCAGACACGTGCCGATAGCACGTCACACTCACACACACCCAGCTGGGCCACACACACAGCCGGTTCCACACTCCCGTCCGGACCATCGCACTCTCCGCCCACGCCACACCACTGCCACGTGCTCTGAGTCACAGACCTGGGAGGGTCTGCCCTGCCCCGGCACGCACAGGCTCCTCCTGCCTTCCCTGCTGACACATGTACTCGTGTGTCCATGTGCGCACACACACACACACACACACACACACACACACACACACACACACACACATGCTCATGTGCAAACAGCCCTCCAGGGCCTGTGCCACCAACAGCTCTTGCCCCCAGCGGGAATTGGCCAGAGCAGCTCGCCGTCTGCCCGGTGCATCTGTCCGTCCGTCCCCTGGAGAAGACAGGGTTATCTCTGTGCTCTGGCCAGGGGCTGCCGCCCTCTGGAACTCACGAAAGCTGGCTTTTGTTCCTTTGCCTCCCTTTGGGGGCAGGAACCTTCAGGACTGCTGCCCTGGCCCTGCCTGCTGGCCCCCCAGGTGCTGGGGCAGTTGCTCTGCTGGGAGCCCCTCCTTGCCACGCGCTGGCAGGCCACAGTCACTTTCCTGACGGGTGAGCCCCACCAAGGCTGGACCGGAGAGTCTCGGTGCTGCTGGGCCTTGGGCAGGAGCAAGGCAGCGGCATGGGCTAGGCCGGGCCAGGTGGGAAGGGCCAGCCACACCTATGAGACACCGTCTTTATTCTTTAGGCCCGTGGGAAGTTCTGGGTGCCTTTGTTTTTTTTTATTTTTTTTCAAGGAAAAAAATGATAAAAATCTCAAAGCTGATTTTTCTTGTTACAGAAAAACTAATATAAAAGCATTATCCCTGTCCCTGCAGCCTGTGGCCGTGTCTGTGTGTGCTTCCTGCCAGGTGCGGGGCTGGCACTGGGGTAGGCTGGGCAGGACACAGCACCAGTGTGCTGGCCGGACCAGCAGGAGTCAGTGCAGACGTCAGTTCTTGGGTCCCCAGAGCAGCTGCACAGGGGAGGGCCGGGGAGACAGCTCGGTTGCAGGTGAGGAGGCCGGGAGGTGTGTGCAGCCCATCAGCTCAGTGGGAACCCACAGGTCCTGTCCCGGGACCACACACTGGGCCTTTGGGCGCACTCTGCGTCCCCAGAGGCTGTGCATCCAAGCAAAGGACCTGCTGGGCTTTGGGCCTGCTCAGGCCTCACCTGGAGGGTCACAAGGCACCTTTGCACTAAGGGTTGTTACCGACGGGGTCTGTCCCAGAGAGGTGGGGCTGGAGGGAGACTGCCCGAGGCCCTGGGAGCTGGGGCAGAGTTGACTTGGGGGCCCAGGTCTCTGCAGGCCTTCCCAGGGCAGAGGTGACAGATGTGCCCTGTAGGGCAGAGCTGGAGCTGGGGGAGACAGCCGCAGGAAGGGCATACCCAGCTCCGGGCTAAGGAAAATCTTTGATAGGCTGAGCTGCCCCACAGTGGCTTTAGTTATCCAGGAAGTAGCGACCTCCCTGCTACTGGAAGTGTGTAAGTATGTCCCTATAAGCCTACTCAAGAGCAGGTGCCTGCCTTGTGGCGGACAGACTTGACTGCTCAAAGGGTGACACGGAAGGGGTGAACAGCCCATCCACAGAAGGTGGGAATGGCTGGTGGCGTGACACCCAATCTCTCCCGGGTGAGTGGGCCCCAGCGAAGGAAGGCTGCTCTCGTGGGGGGTCCCACAACCCTGGCCCTGTGTGGAAGGGGGTGTCCTGGGGTCAAGGCTCTTCCTAGAGTCCTCAGGCCATGGCCTGGGTGAAGGATGGAAATAGTTCAGGAGCCAAGGGCTGGGAGCAGGTGCCTTCCTCACTCTGAGTGGCCTTGGGGGGCCTGTCTCCTCTTGGGCATCAGCATCTTCATGGGCATCATGGTGCAAGACCCCTCCAGACCCGAGAGTGGTATCTTCTCCCCAAGGCTCATCTAGAACAGGCAGTGTGGCCGGGGCCTGTCCGTGTGCCCTGCAGGCCTCCTGCAGGCACCCAGGGTGAGGGAGTGAGGGAGACAGTCTGGAAACATCTTTGGGCATGTCCCCTCTCTAAAGCAAAACATTCACCACAGGGAGCCAGACTGGCAAAGGAAATTCGTTCCTTTTACAGGGACTGATCCCAGGGCCTGTCTGGAGAGCAGAGCCAGCCTTGGGGCACAGTGGTCTGTCCGCACTGGATAAGGCCCAGTCATGTTGTGGCCGTTGAGACAGGTGCCTAGGCAGGCCGGTTTGTATTCTGTCTTCTGCATGTGACAGCTCAGACAGCCCTGTCCCTGCTACAGCCACCAGGACAGGCTCCTCTGCACTCTGGCTGTGCAAGCAGGCCCATCTACACTCTGACAACAGTATTAGCCCAGTAAAGAGGTACTGGCCAGGGTATGGTCTCTGAGTCCACAAAAAGTGAAAAAGAAAATACCTTTATTTAGTTATCACTGAGTTCGCAAACACAGAAAGGACTAGAAAACCTGACTCCACTTTGCCACGTGGGCCTCTGGGCAGTTCTGACACCAGGGCCCCATCAGCAGCTAGACCACAGCATGCCAGGCCGAGCCTTCCCCGGGCCCTGGCTTGCCCACCTGTCCCATGGGAGGTTGGCCTGGACATGTCTAAGGGGCATTCCAGCTGCAGTTAGGACATCTGTCTCCATATCCAATAAGCTTTGCAAGAGACAAGTAGCAGGACAGGGAACCAGATGGACGGTGGCCCAGGGAAGGCAGCGGGTCTTGGCCCTGGGCTGGGTCCCCCTTGGGGATAACTGTTTGGCTGAGGCCACCTGTTATGGGGTGGGGTGGGCCTGGACACAGCTGGGACAGAAACCAGGACACTGTTATTTGTCTTCACACGTGGGAAGTGGTGGGCTAGCGGAGGGGGTGGAGCCTCTCTTGGCATCTGGCCCCACAAACGGCCCTTGTCCTCCAGGAAAGAGAGGCCTGGGCTTGAAGGACTTGAGTGAGCGTCCTGGCCCTGACCTCACTTGTTCGAGACCGTGGGCAAGTGTTTTTAGCTGTCAGGGCCTCAATTCTCTCATCTAGAAAGTGGGGCTGACCCCCGCCTGCCATCCTCACAGGCTCACACAGGGAAAACTGTCACCACCAGTGCTTGGGCTATGCCAGTCCGTCACTCTCTGGCTGGGCCTGCCCCCTGAGGCCTTTTCCCTCTCTGAGATTCCGTTTTCAGTCAAGTGGGGCTAAGTCCGGCCTCACAGGGTGGGAAGAATGTGTGAGCCTGGCCCCTGGCAGCTGGCCTCTCTCCAGCTCAGGAGAGTTGGAGAGTTGGGTTCCTGCCCCTGCGGCCCGGTCCTGCAGGCTCAGACGTTGGTTTCGAGCTCACTGATCTCGATGGTGCAATGCTCCAGACTGGTGGCTGCCGGCTCCTCGTCCTGCTCCACCTGTACAGGGACGTGGTGGGGGCAGGCAGGGCCCAGCGTCAGCTCTGAGGCCTCGGCCACGCTCTTCACGCAGCCGTTCTGCTGGGTTGCCACGATCTCCTGGAGGCTCACTGGCTTGGTCTCGATGGGTGGCAGTTTCTGGAGAGGGGAAACAGGTATTGTCAGCAGCAGGAGGGACTGAGGTTAGACACTAGGGAGGACCGAGTGGAACAGAACAAGCTCAGGTCTGGGAACCACAGATAGATTTTCTAACAGTCACACTGTGTCGCCTCCCTGGGCTCCAGTTCCCAAGCTGTCCTGCCTCCCTGGGGCTGTCTTAGTAGAGAAGGGGACCTGACCCACAGGGTCCAGTGAGGGAATCGGTGGCTCCCCTGCCTGAGCCTCAGCTTCCTCCCTGTGAAGCGGGGCAGCTTACAACACAGCACCAAAGAGCACACACCCTCTACAGACCCACAGAACTGCGTAAGTTCCAGGAGGTCAGGGGGTTTCATCATAGTTTGTTCCCACTGTTCCTCCTGTGTCTGTATCAGTGCTGGCCATCACGGGTGCTCAATACATAGATGTTAGAGTAATCAGTACCCCTGTAACAGATGAGGAGACTGAGGCCCAGAGACATGGAGGGACGGGCTGAAGGCTGCCCAGCTGGTTGGTGGAAGGTCTGGTGCCCGCCCCACCGGCTCCCCTAGGAAGGGGCCACCAGGCTGGGAGGGGGCGCTGCTCTCACCTCCGTGCCCGTGTCCCGAGCAAAGTCCTTGCGGCAGATGTGGGCCATGATCCCCGCGGCCAGCGCATCCCCCAGCACGTTAATCATGGTGCGGAAACGGTCCCTGGTGAGCCAAGGAGGGCGGTGAGCAGCGGGCACTTTGAGGGGGGCTGGAAGGGGCAGTGCTCAACCCTGAGGAATGAGGCCACTGCAGCAGCCACCAGGCAGAGCCGCAGCCAGGTGGCTCCCCGGCCCCTCCCAAGCCCACTCCTTGGCGGTGCTGAAGCCGGTTGAGGCAGGGCTGGCCCCGGCGTGTGGCTGTGTGTCGCACGGGCCCTATGCTTAGAAGCACCAGGCCTGGTTTAATGCTCTGCTTTTGCTATCTTGAAATTCTTTATAATTTTTAAACAAAAGGCTCCACATTTTCATTTTCAAACACTAAGGCCCACAAATTACGCAGCTAGGCCTGTGCTGATGAGTAGGGCACTCCCACCGTGCTGCACGTGGTAGTTCCCCAGCCCTCTACCCCGGGGAAGGGACTCAACGCCCCATGCCTGCTGCCCTCCACGCCAGGACTGGGCTGGGGCCAGGGCCAAAGTCCACTCACAGAGCCCAGTCGACAGCGATGATGAGGGTGATGTCGTCGGTGGGCAGTCCCACGGAGGTGAGCACGATGACCATGGTGACGAGTCCGGCCTGGGGGATGCCGGCTGCCCCGATGCTGGCTGCGGTGGCTGTGATGCTGCAGGAGGGGTGGGTGCGCTGTCAGGGCCCTGGCTCCAAGGAGGAGGCCAGAATGCCAGGGCCTTTGGGACAGCCACACGGGTGGGGGTTAGGAACACCACCTCAGGGAGTTCCCAGGGGCACGTCCCTGCTCACGTCCTGTGGCCCATCGGATCCCCATCCCTGGCCTCAGGAGACCCTCCTGAGGAAGGGGTCGACACCTGCGTCTGGAGCTGCACCCCACCGGTCCCAGGACACTGTGCTGTTAAGGAGCTCCCCAGGTGGTGCGTGGGCACGGCGCTGCCCCAGCCTCCCCAGGCTGGGACTGTGCACTCGGCTTGCACGCAAGGCTCCCCTCAGCCTCTGCCCGGCCCCAGCACCCTTCCCTTGGCTCCGGCCATGCCAGTGGCCTGTCCGTGGTGCTCAGTCCTGCCCTGTGCCCGCCTGCACTGCCCTCCCCTTCCCGCCTGTCCCCAGGCTCATTGCTTCCGGTCGCAGCCCTGTGTCCTCCCGCAGGCTGCAGGGCGGCCCTGCTGTGCCCTGAGTCCCAGCCCCAGCACCGACCGGCCTCAGGCTTGAGGATCCAGAAGGCTCCTCCGCCCCCCCCCATGGGGGGAGGTGTCAGGACGCACCTGATGGTGATGATCTGGCCGAAGTCCAGCTCGTAGTTGTTGACCTGGGCGATGAAGATGGCGGCCACAGCCTCGTAGAGCGCGGTGCCGTCCATGTTGATGGTGGCGCCCACGGGCAGCACGAAGCGTGCGATGCGCCGGTCGATGTGGTTGTTCTCCAGCAGGCACTTGAAGGTGATGGGCAGTGTGGCTGAGCTGTGGGCAGAGGGGCCCGTGTCTGCACAGCACCCTCCTCCAGGATGGTAGGGAAGCTCACCTGGCCCCAGGCAGTGGCCCACGCAGGGGCGAGCAGGCGCCTGGCAGAGCGCACGCCGGCCTGCGTGGGCTGCCCACCGCGTGGAGGGAGCAGCCCCTGGAAGAGACCTGTGTGCACCAGGCACTGTGCTGTGCTCTCCTGTGGGGCTGGGGGTTGAGTCCATTTCACACATGAAGAAACTGAGCCCAGAGGGGACCAAGGGCTGACCGGACGTCACACTGCTCTGCCAAGAGCGCAGGGAGTGGTGAACAGCAGGGGCTGTGGGCCGGCTGCCTGGGTTTAGATTCCAGCCTCCTACCCAGTGGCCCTGGCAAGTGCCTGAACCTTATGCCTCAGCTTCTTTGTCCCAAACCAGGGGTCCTCAAACTTTTTAAACAGGGGGCCAGTCCACTGTCCCTCAGACCATTGGAGGGCTGGACTATAGTTTTAAAAAAACTATGAACAAATTTCTATGCACACTGCACGTATCTTATTTTAAAGTAAAAAAACAAAACGGGCAAAAACACCCGCGTGTATGTGGCCCTCGGGCCGTAGTTTGAGGACGCCTGTCCCAAACAATACCTGGGTTACAGAGCACAGAACAGTGTCTGCACACCGTCAGCACGCGGTCGCTATTATTGTTACCGTGTTTGTTACGAGAGTTCCTAGTGGCAGTGCTGGGACTAAAACTCAGGCTGGGGTGGCCCTCGAGCCCTTCCTCTCCCCACAGGCCACTGCCCAGGAGCCTCTAATGAGCCCCAGACGAGCTGGGCTCTGGCCGCGGTTCCTGCTGGCAGGAGGTGGAGGCTGCTGGCGCTGTTTGGGCTTTGTCTTTCCCTTTTACGGCCTGGCCTCCGCCCTGGGTGGATGTTCCCGGACTGTGCCTTCGGGGCTGTTCTTCACTGTGGTCCGCTCCTCCTGACCCTGAGCTGCTTCTGCTGCCAAGGGTGGGGCCGTAGGTCTGGGGGGAGGGGCGGGGGGTCCTGCGGGGCTTCTCACAGATGGGGAAGCTGAGTCCCAGGGAAGAGAAGGCAGCAAGGGCAGGAGGCAAGAGCAAGGCCTTTGATGCCATAAGGACGTGGCCGGCTGGAGCCCCTACACCTTCCTTACTGTGGAGCGTGGACACTCCCGTGGGGGAGCGTCCTTTCTTCACAGCGTGGATGCTCTAACGACTGCTGCCTTCCGGCCTCTTGACCGACAGCCTGGCTGGACAGCTCTGAGTCCCTGGGGTCTGCTGCGCTCGCTCACTGGGGCGTGGGGCCTGAGGCCAGTGCTGACTCCTCCGGCCCGACGGCGTTCTCATCCTTCCTGGATCACCTCAGTCCCCTCAGCGACCCTGTGCTGGGGGGCTAAAATCACCCCCAGTCTGTGCACCAGGAAGCTGGGGCCCAGGGAGGGTGTGCCCGGCCTGCAGTCACACGGGGAGTGAGCGATGGAGCCGCCACTCAAATCCTGCCGCCTGGCAACCCTGCCTGCCGCCAGAACAGCCAGCAAGAACAGCCAGGCCTGGCCCCAACAGGAGCACCATGTGGCGGTGAAGGACAACAGCAGTTCGCTGATGCGATTTCCAACAGACGCTACAGCTCTCTCCCTGCCCCTGACGCGCAGAAGGGACCCCCATATGGATGGAGTGTGCACCTTAGGGATGGCAGGCAGTCGGGAGGGAAGGCCCCAGAGGCGATTCGGGCTGGTGAGGCCTCAACCGAGAAATCCCCCTAGGTCCTGCCACCATCGCGGCTCAGCCACCCCCGAGCCTGTGGCGTGGGCCACGCTGCACGCTCCCTGGCTCTGTGGCTGTGGGCCATGACGCCCAGCGGGCAGCAGAGCCCAGCCCCTGTGCCCGCCATCCTGCCCCGCCAGGGTACCTGGAGGAGGTGGCCAGCGCGATGAGCAGGGCCTGCAGGACGCCGCGGATGAAGACGATGGGGTTCTTCCTGGTGATGAAGAAGTAGAGCAGGGGCAGGATGAAGAGGCCGTGGAGCACCAGCCCGCACACCACGGTGACCGCGTAGAAGCCCAGCTTCTTGCCCACAGCCCTGGGGTCGTCCATCTCCAGGATCTTGCCGGCGATGAGGAACACGATGCCAAAGGGGAAGTACCTGGGGGTGGCAGGGTGGCATGAGCTCAGGTGCCGGGCAGATGGGGTCCCACCCAGCCTTGGCCTCTCTGGGCCTCCCCTGCCCATGTCTCTGAGGAGCCATCGTAGCGCAGCCCCAGCAAGGCCGCGGCCTCCGAGGGTGACTGTGAGTGGACCTCCCTCTGCATCGCCCCGTCTGGACTCGTGTGGTCCGAACTCAGCCTAGGAGTGGCAGCTGGTTCTCACCCCCTGTGTTTCCCTTCTCCAAAAGCTGAGCTGAGGAGGCTCCATATGATAGGGAAACTGAGGCTGGGAAAGCAACAGAGCCAGGCTGAGCTCTTGCCTCTCCTCCAGACCCAGCCGGAAGTGGCAGGCCCAGGGCTGGAGGGAGGCCTGGTCAGGGCTGGGGGACCTGTGGAAACACATGGAGCTCTGGACCCGGGCCTGGGGCTAAGCCTCATGTGTGGCTTTCTGCAGCGCCCCCAGGAGAGCAGAGGATGGGACCGTGGCCGCCCTCCACCCACCAAGGACTGGAATCAGGGTGGGGTGAGAGAGGACCCGGCCCTGACCAGGCTTACCACCCAGCCACTGCCACGATCTTCATCACTGACTCGTTGAGGCACTGGCAGAAGCTGACCAGGGGGGCCCCGCTGTCACCCATGCGGCCCAGCATGATGCCTGCAGGGCAGGGACACAAGAGCTTGTCATGGAAGCACCAGGGGGACCCAGGCATGCCCTGCCCCAAGCAGGGTCATGTGCAGATCTCAGCCTGGCTGACATGGACCCAGGTTCCCCCTGCCAGCTCTGCCCCTACGCAGCCCCATTTGGATTTTTCTGGGGCATCCAAGGACTTAGCATTTGCCACCTCCCAACCCTAGGGAGGCATCGGGAAAGGAAGCTGGGATGAGGGGACCAAAGAAAGCCCTGTTCAGAGTAGCTGTGCAAGTGTGCTCACTCAGACACGGGCACACACTGATACCTGCACTGATGGGCACAGACTCTGGCTGGTGTGGACACACACTGATGTGGACACGGATGGGTACAGGTACACGCAGGCACAGGCACATGCAGACATGGGCACACACTGATATCTGCACCGATGGGCACGGACTCTGGCTGGTGTGGACACACAGACGGGGACATGGACGGTGCAGGTACACATAGGCACATGCAGACATGGGGACACACTGACATGCACACAGGCACAGGCACACACATGTCAGATGTGCTGAGGGGCACTTCCAAACACCAACTTGTCACACACTCAGGTCACTGAGGTCCTGGCCCCCTGCATGCCTGGCATCTTGGCCAAGATGCTAAGAGCCCCGTTATCCATCATCATGCGCCCATCTGTCCTGCAGACTTCACTGAGTGCCTGCTCCAGCCACTGCTGTGGTGGGCACTGGGTGGACAGAGAGCAGGCTGGTGTGTCTCCGCCTGCGTGGGGCTGTGCAGACTCTGAGCGACTAGATCCTGCAGTAGGGCCCAGCGTTTACGGAGCAGTGCGGGCAGGGGAGCTGTAGCCCCGGCAGCTGCCCCAGGGAAGACTTTGCTGAGGGTGTGATGCTGTGGGGAGACCCGGAAGCATGAGAAAGTGGAGGGGGGAGTGGCAAGAGCCGCAGGGCTGAGGGGAGCAGAGGGCGCTGGGAGGCAGCGTGGCCTGCGAGGACAGCGGCAGGCTGGGCCTGTCACACAGGGGTTTGGCTGCTTTCCAAATGCAGCGGGCAGAGCACGGTCAGCTGGTGACTCCTGAAAATGACACATGAGAGGGACAAGAGTGGAAGGCACAGGGACTCTAGGCAGCTTCCACAGAAACCAGGCGAGAGGCAATGGTGGCCTTGACCCCGGGTGGTGACAGCAGGCAGAGGGAAATGCACACGTTGGAGGGAGATTTCGGAGGCAGAACTAACAGGAGGGCAAGGTAGAAAGTGAGCCACCTGGAGGATGGCGAGGCTTTTCCCTGAGAACAAAACCCTGTGGAGACGTCGGGAAGCAGGAGGTGACGGCCCCCCAGGCCCCGTGGGGGAGGCTGGTGCTGATTTTAGAGTGAGACTCACAGTGCCCCCCCCACATGGCCTGGAAACACAGGATTGGGACAGACAAGCTAGATTGTTCTGGAAGGTCGGGAGTTGTCCCCAAGCAGGAGCTTTCTGTGTGTGTTGGTGGGCTGGGGGGCACTGTAGGCGGAGGCACACCCAAAGGTTGTGTGGGGTCTGAAGTTATGTTGTGTGGGGGCCTCTTTTAAGAAAAAGAACAGAAAAAAGGCACAGGCCTCGGACGGGACCTGCAAGGGCCTGGGTCTGGGCTTTGTGGCCTCACGGTCAACCCCTGAGCCTGGGCCCTGGGGACCCAGGAGAGAGCGGCAGAGGGAAGGTGTGTCCCGGAGGCCACCGTGGGCACAGACGGGTCTGAGGGGGGCAGTGGGTGGCGGGGACGGGGGCTTTGAATAGACAGTTCTCAGCTCTTTAGTTTTAGTTTCTAGTTCAATGGTTTTAGCTCTTGACTGTGTGCTGCCCTCCTGCGTTATCCCCAGGCCCCAGGAAAAGGCTTGGGAACCGGCCGCGGGGAAGGGGCTGGGGCACAACTCAGCCCCCGGGGACCCCAACTCCCGGGGGGTGGGCAGCACCTGCTCTGAGTGAGGGCGCTGGGGGCCCGGCCACCCTGCTGGAGACGAGAGGCAAGGGAGGAGGGACCTTTCCTTGCTCAGATGATGGGGCAGAGCGCGGCGGGAGGGTTGCGCGTACCCATGGTGGCGGAGAAGATGACGATGCCCAGCACGTTCATGCCGTCGCTGGTGCCGGGCTCCACCTTGTACACGACTTCAGGCGGCGGCGTCAGGTCCAGGGCGAAGTTCTGCACTCGAGAGCCGTTCTCCTCCTGGACGCCATAGATGAGGATCCGCCGGGGAGGGGCCTCCTCCTGTGCCACCTTGGGGGACTTGATGACCGGGGTGGTCTTGGTGCGGTACTAGTGGTGACACCCCAGCCAGGAGGGAGTTAGGGCCAAGTGTGGTTGTTAATATCACCACCACCACCAACAAAACATCCCGAAAGCACGATTGTGTCCGCTCAAATCCTATTTGAGTGGCAATGACCCTGTGCAGTAGGCAGGGCTTAGCGTCTATGTTACCAAAAAGGAGCTGAGATTCCCTCCTCCGTCTCTGTGCTGCCCAGCCCGCCTCCCTCTATCCCTATCCCTTCTCCTGTCTACAAACCGTCACCCCGCCTGGGCCTTAGCTAGCCACCTGTCCGTCCTCCATTCACCTACTTGGCCCCTCCCAACCACCCGGTATCCTTCTGCCTAATGGCAGCCAGTTGCCTTCCACCTTCCACCTTCCACCTTCCACCTGGTGGAAGCGCGGAGCTTCTCTTAAAGGGCCCGGCCCATCCCAGGCCTCTAGACGGGGTGAGGTCCAGCTGTGACAGATTGAGCTGCCCCCAGAGCATTCCTGGGCTTCTCCCCTTCATTCCTCAGGTACGGGGAGCCCAAACAAGGGGCCTCCTGTCCTCCCAAACATCACAGTGTCAATAAGTTAAGCCTTCTAGGGAAAAGAAGGAACCACTTGGGAAATACATGGACCTAAAGTCTCTGTGCCTCATTTTCCTTATCTATAAAATGGAATCTTAATATTAATAGTCTCTACCTCATTGGATTAAATGAGACATATATATATATAGTGCTACCACAGCTCCTGGCACATGGTAAGCCCTAGGTAAGTATCATTGCTATCATCATCATCATTATCATCATCATCCCACTATTGAACACTCTGTGCTGGATGCTGGAGATACAAAAGTGAACCAGACATAATTTCTGCTCTGAGAGCCGTGGAGAAGGAGTGACTAACTCTGCCTGAAATTGTCAGCTTCAGGCAGATGGGGACATCTGACTTGGGTCTTGAAGGATAGGTAGGAGTTTGCCAAAAGAAAAAGGGCATTCCAAACAGACATGAAGTAGAGTAATAGTCTGTCTTTTTCTCTCATATTCTCAATAATTCCCTATCACAAGTGGAATAAAATCCAAACCCCTTGGCCTTGCATTCAGGGCCCTTCACAATCTGGCTCATTTTATAGGTTAAGACCCAAGAAGTTAGAAGAGACGCAGTGATTTGCAGAAGCCTTCACAGCTCCTTATTTTGAAGGCTCCTCTCCAATTCTAGCCATTCCTTTGTGACCCTGGGTCAACACAGCACAGGGCAGGGGTCCAGGAAATGCCTGCAGGATTGAGTCAATCAACTAGCCAACATTTTAGAAGGGGAAAAAGAATTGGAAATTATCAGAAGTGCAGACAAAGATTGATGTACAAGGATGTTTGCCACAATGTCTCAAAAGGCAAAACTTTGGCCAGGAAGTCTATAGTCCCAACACTTTGGGAGGCCAAGGCAGGAGGGTCACCTGAGGCCAGGAGTTTGAGACCAGCCTACATCGTGAGATCCCCCATCTCTACAAAAAATTTAAAAATTAGCCAGGCATTGTAGTGAGTGCCTGTAATCCCAGCTACTTGGGAGGCTGAGGCAGGAGGATTGCTTCAGGCCAAGAGTTTGAGGTTGTAGTGAGCTATGATGACAGCACTGTACTCCAGCCTGGATGACAGAGTGAGACCCTGTCTCAAAAAACAACAACAACAACAGCAACCACAAAAAATGCCCCAAAATAAACCAATGAAAGTTTGAAAAGATCCTGAAAGACCACTGAAAGGGGGAATGGGTAAATAAAATACAGTCCAGCCTTACAATAAGCTATTACATCACCACTAAATATTTTCCTTTAAGAAACATTTAATAACCAGGGAAAATGCTCATGATATAATGTATAATGGAAGTGAAAAAAAAAAAGCAAGATGCAAACTATATATGCACTATGATCCTAATATTATTATTTATTTATTTTTGAGACAATCTCACTCTGTTGCCCGGGCTAGAGTGCCGTGGCATCAGCCTAGCTCACAGCAACCTCAAACTCCTGCGCGCAAGCGATCCTCCCGCCTCAGCCTCCCGAGTAGCTGGGACTACAGGCATGCACCACCATGCCCAGCTAATTTTTTCTATATTTTAGTTGGCCAATTAATTTCTTTCTATTTTTAGTAGAGATGGGGTCTTGCTCTTGCTCAGGCTGGTCTCAAATTCCTGAGCTCAAACGATCTGCCCACCTCAGCCTCCCAGAGTACTAGGATTACAGGCGTGAGCCACTGCACCCGGCCATATTTTTAAAAATATATTTAATGCCGAGAAAAAAAGACTAGAAGCATACCATCTGCAATTGCTATTGCTAGGTATTGGCACTGGAGTGATTTTTATTTTCTACTTTATATTTTATAGTGTTTTCGTAATTTTCTACAGTGAACATTATTACTATTTTTCTTAGTGGGACAAAGGATGATTTTAAAAAGAAAGGGAAAATGGGCTTAGAAGCCAGACAGGCCTGGGTTTACCACTAGCTTTGTCATTTATAAAGATAACCCTGGGCAAGTCGTTTAATCGTTCTGAGCCTCAGTTTCCTCATCCGGGAAATGGGACTGATGCTACTCAGTGCAGGGTCGCCGTGAGGATGAGGGAGAAGATGCACAGTGAGCACCACATGGAGCCTACAGCAGAGCAGGCACTCAACAGAGGCCTCCCTCTGCCCCTGTACTTTTTCTTCATGAAAAACTGAACCCAGGACATGGGTGTGGCCATGGGAGCTTCTAAGGATCTAGGTCCCCCCACCTCCCCTCCCCTCTAGCAGCCCACCCTCAGGAGAGAGGGAGACGGGCTGGGCAAACCTGTCACTTTCCAGCCAGGCCAGCTGTCCCTGCCCACCTGCCCCTCCTGTCTGCCACCCCTTCCCCTCCCTCAACCCACTCACCTGTTTGAATGTGGCTTCCACCAGGTTGGCTGGGAACATGTTCCTGGGAAGAGAGCCAGCAGTTGAAGAATTCCAGAGCCCAGGACAGCAGGGCCCTGAGGCTTGGGTCCTTGGGGTCATCTGAACATCTCCCTCGGCAATCGAGGCCTCCCTAGAGCCGGTCCCCTCCCTCTACCGTCTCACCTCTACAGCCCGGGCCCCCACCCCCAGCACTTACAGCGCCCTAACTACAGCCCGTGAGTTTCAGCACCAGGCCTTTGTCACCCTCTTCCCTCTGCCTGGAACGCCCTGCCTGCTTCCCTGTCCGGCTAACTCCTGCTGGAATCAATCTCGGGTCAGGCACCACTTCCTCTGCCAGCCCTCTCCGACCGCCCCAGGCAGGCCCCACGCTCCCTGTGTGCACCGGTCACCTCCGCCCCACCAGGCTGCAGTGCGGTCACTGCATGACCTGTCTACCGCCCCGAGATAGCGGCCGCCTTGAAGGTGAGACTTGGTTGTGCATATCCTGGCTGGGGAGCCCAACACAGGACCTGGCACATAAGTGGGATCACTATTCTTATTAATATTTTATTATAAAGCTAAAGCTGGAGGGGTCTTATCCTACCAGATGTGAAAACACACTGTAAGATGTAACCACCAGGACAGTGTGATACCAACTCAAATGTCAGTGGCACAATCAATGGACAGAACCTGTAGCCCAGAAACAGAGCCTAGTACATCCGAGTACTGCATATCTGATAAAAGTTGCTTCGCAAATCAGCAAAGAAAAGAGGGATTCGTTAGGGAATACTGTACAGCTGACCAGCTATTTGGAAAAATAAACGTTAGATCCTTATTTAACACCTTATGCCAAAATAAATTCCAGATGGTTTAAAGAAATAATTCTTTAGAAAATGAAACCATAAAAAGCTAGAAGAAATATAAGTCGATATTTTACCAGCTCTCAGAATATGAAAGGACTCTCTAAGAATAAAATGAGCAACAAATCAAGAGATTTTACTACATTAAAATTTAGAAATTCCTAAGTGCAACATGGCACTAAAAAAATTAGTGGGAAAACTGGTGAAATCCAAATAAGGTCTGTAATTGAGTTAATAGTATTGTGCCAATTTAATATCTTAGTTTTGACAGATGTACCACAGTCCCGTAAGATGCTAACGTGAGGGGAAGCCGGGTGGAGGATGTATGGGTCTTCCTGCACGATCTGTAACTTTCTGTAAACCTAAAATTATGCCAAAGTGAAAAACTAAAAAAACAAGAAGCTCCCAAGACAGATTATGATACCACTAAAATCATAAAGCAAAGGACAAACTGGGGAGACTACGGGACCAGGTGCTATCATCCTGAATCTATGAAGAGCTTCTACAAATCTTGTCCTTGCTTCTGTGTCCAGGGTCTGTCTCCTCTCCCCAGAGGGTCAGCTCCCTGCGGGGTGGAGACCTCTGCTTTGCTCCCTGCTGTGTTCCCAGCACCTGGGGAGGGGGGTACCTGGCACACATCAGGCCCCCAGTGGATATTTGCTGCACGAACAAACAGACCACAAAACATTAATACCAGTAGGAAAATGATGGACAGATAGGACAGACAATTCGCTTCACAAAAGAAGAAAGATAAATGGCCAAAAAAGCTTTTAAAACGATATTCAGTGTCATCAATATAGTGAAGGTATTTTCATTTATCAAACTGACAAAGTATTTTTTTAAATGACAATGCACGGTGCTGGGGAGGTTTGGTGAGATGGGCACCCTCACAGGGTTCTGACAGCAGACTTTTTTGGAAGCAATTTAGCAATTCATGTCAAGAGTCTCAGAAGCACTGATATCTGTGTCCTTACGATGCCTTTCCAGGAACTGATCCTAAATCTGAGACGCTGGGAGAGATGTGTGTTCGTGCACTCGCCCTTCCTGGAACAGGCGTGTGCCTCACACTCAGCTGCCTCGTCCACCTGCACCACCCACCCACGCACTCTTGCTCTCGCCAAGTCTCTTTCAAGGCTCAGCTCACACACGCCCAGAGTTTTAGATGTGGATATGAATACGCGGCATGTCTTAGCTCTACACCCCGGCAGCCATTGTTGGAAGCAGAAACTGTCATTACTGCTGCTAATGTATAGGTCCATCGTAAGCATATGGCAGGAGGAAGAGGGTGGAGAATGAGCTATCAAGGCACAAAACCTGCAAGAATGGTCATGGCTATGTTGTGACCCACCTGTAATTTACCCTCTTCCTACGCATTTCAGTTTTGTCACAAGAGAGAGAAGCAGAGCTCTGGAGCTAGGATCTCAGAAGCTTAAACAAAACTTTTTTTCCATGAGTTATAAGCAGATTTGTCAGCAGAATGGGAGCTGCCTGTAAGGACTCCTGACATCAAGCAGACCCGAAGCACCAGTACGCCGGGGTTAGTGCTGGGGGCGTGCCGAGGGCTTGCGGGCACACAGCCGGCCAGAGATCAGCGGTTCCCCTGCCCTGGGCATCTATGCCCGGGGTCGGTGGGGGGTGCCCGTGCTGCCCTGATTGTTAAGTGTTTGAAAATCTCTCCTGGGAACAGCCCCAGGAAGCTCAAGTGACTTGCAAGGTTGTTTTCTAGTAAAACTTAGAGGGAAGTCTGCTTTAGCCTGAGCAAAAACTAAGAACTTCCGAAAGGTCATAAGAAACCAAATGGAACTTATACCTACTGTGTACATTTCTTTACACTTTCCTTTAAAATTAGAATAATTTAAACTGTGGGCTGTGGCCAGGACGGCGAAATTCTCTCCTCCTTCCTTAGAGGAGCCCTGCCAGGTGGAGGGCCCAGCAGGTCCTGCCAGCAAACCCTGGTTCCACGGAGCTGTGAGTGGAAGTCACCGGGTGGTGCTTCCTGGAAAACTCTTGGAGAGGTGCAGAGGTCCCTTTGGTTCTGTCCCCCAGTTTTCTTGCCTGGAACATGGACATAAAGGCTAGCAACTTGGCTGGACCACAAGACACACTGACGATGAAGGCCGGGTGCCGAGCGTGGCAGAGCACCCAGGCGGACAGAGCTGGAACCCTGGCACCAACGCTGCCCACCTCCGGCTGCCCGTTCCGGGGAAAACACAAGCCGCCACCTGACTTAAACCTCTGCCACTTCGAGTTTTCTTAACCGGTAGCCAAAAGCAATTCCTGACTATGTGTGCTCATACTAATAATCAGTGAACTTGTCCTGCAGAATTTAATCAATAATTACATTCTTGATTATTAAATAGGAAAAGGCGCAACATTGTCTTTTGGCTTTGGGCCCCCATAGGAAGCTTCCTGCTTGTCCCATGAGGCCTATGCTCCTGGTGGCAGCTACATAAAGCACAGGACATGCCTGGAGACAGCCACAGGGTTGCCTACCAAATACCCACACGCTCTGCCCTGGGCCTCCCTGCGCGTTTCTCCGGGCAGGGCCAGAATCCACCTCTCAGCTCCCCTCCTCGCCTACTATTCATAAGTTCTCACTGTGATGGTTCCACACTCGCCCCGAATCCCATGTCCAAAGCCCAGGCCCCAAAGGTGGTGACTGTTCTTCTCAAGCACAGCTCCCAGGAGCCTCATCCGGTTCCGGAGGGGGTGACTGGGAGCCGTAGACATAGCCAAGTCATTACGTAATCTCTGTGGTGTTTTAATAAGATTGGAAAAAAAGAGAAGGGGCCAGCTCTGATTAGTGTTCTGCCTGCGTTTCATTCTGTGCGTCTGCACTGTGGGCGGACGTCAGTGTTCTGGAGCCCCCGCTTGGAGCCCTGGGAAATGAATTCGTGTCTTGACGGGTCATCCAGGGACATGGCATGTCGTGTTCCTCTGGATCATCTTTGAGGCGTGGACACATATCTTTGCACCCGAGGTGTGTGGTGGGGCCTCCTGTCTCCGTGCAGTCAGCCCCACGCTGCTCTGACTTCCGTTTGCAACACCTGCCGAGTTCCCCGTTCCCTTCCCGGTCATCTGTGCTCTCGTCCAGTCACCAACACAGGGCAGGCACCTGCTCTGGGCCAGAGTGTGGGTCGGGAGGCCCCAGGTACTCTCACTGCCAGTGTCCCCAGCTTCTGCACAGCCTCAGAGCATCAGGAGTGGCTGTCCGCATACCCCCTCCTCCGTCTGTCCTGCGAGGGTGGGCAGCCTGGTGCAGGGATTTGTATTGGCTCCCGGGCTCTCAGCATGACATCTTTGCCCAGAGCAGGTGCTCAGTAGAGGGGGGCTGACCAGAACGGAAGTGACTGCAACCCTCCCAGGGCATCCCGTGTCTCCGGCCATATCCTGTCCACTCCAGCCCTCCTTCCCAAACCCACCAGCTTCCACTTCTAAAGCCTCACAGCCAAGCCCTCCACCCGGCCTTCACGGTCTGCTCTGCTCTGTCCTCCCAACCGCAGCTCTCAGACCCGCCGCCTCCTCCCTGGCTCGTGGGCCTTCGTGTTTCAGAACCACAGAGCTAGAAGGAAACTTGACAATCACTGGGGAAACTGAGGCCTGCAGAGGGGGACTGGCCTGCCCAGGATCACGCAGTGACTTACTATTGGCAGCACGGAGATGAGACCACAGGTCTCCTAGGAGCTGGACCCTGGCCCAGGAAGCATGTGCTCTCTCCTGGCAGCCCCACTCTCTGACCAAGGAATGGTGACGGAGATGCCCAACCACCCGGTTTTGCAGAGCAGCTCGCCTCAGGGCGGAGAGCAGGGTCGGGGTGGGGGAGCCTCAAAGCAGAAGGATCAATTTTCTCCATGTGAAAAGCAAGGGAGAGCAGGGAAGGCTCTGGAACATTTGACTCTGACACGTGTGTCCAATCCGGAGCCCCGCAGGCCCGAGCAGGGGAGGCCGTGGCGAGGAGGGCGGCACTGCCAAGTCCCCCCACCACGTGCAAAGCTGTTCTGAATCACAGACTCCAAGAAGTGATGACTCACAGTCACCAAATCCTAAAACTAATGGAACTTAGAAGTGCGGCTTTCAGAACACCCGGTCTCCAGGTCTCCTGCCCGCTGCTCGCTGGGCTGGGTGGGCTCTGTGCCACCTCCTGGGCGGCTGGGGACCTGCTCGCTCCACACATTCTCCCTGGGCCATTCCGGCTGCTCCCGGGGCTCCAGGCCCCAACTCCGCTGATGAGCCCGTGCCCACGTGCGCACCCGGCAACACGGAGCCCCTGCTGCGTGCCAGCCGTTCTAGGCTCTGGGGCACAGCAGGGAACAGATTAGTAAGATCTAGCCCTCACCAGGCATGCTATATTCCACTGGAGGTGACAGAAAAAGAAATAAAGACACACGTGGATGAGACAATGCTGGGTAGTGATGAAGGCTAACAGGAAAAGTAAAGCCAGAGAAGATAATCGAGCTACAGGCCAGGGCGGGGGAGGGGCCCCTGGGAGGCGGTGACACGGAGGCATGAGGGAGGAGCTGTGGCCTCTCTGCGGGAAGGGCCGTCCAGAGAGGGGCGACGACACCCAGACGGTCCGGTCCAAGTGGCGGGGCCAGCGTGGCATGCAGTAGGGGATCACCAAGGGCCGGGGAGCCACGTGCAGATTACGATGGGTCGTGTGGAATGTGGTGGGTTGAGAGCAGGCTGGGGAAGGAGCTCCCTGGCTGCAGGGCTGGGAACAGACCGTAGGAAGCCAAGAGAAAGCTGCGGCCAGGCTGGCGCTGGAGCGGGCGCCGATGGCGGGGGTGGCAGAGGGGACAGAAGGGCCGTGGTTTGGGACGTGGTTTTCAAGGTAGAGCTGACGGAATTTGCTGAGGAGTTGGGTGCAGGAGGTGAGTGAATGAGAGACGGCAGCCCCAGATGGCGGGCTGAGGAAAGGGTAGAATTATGGGGGGGCGTGTTAATTTTGAGATGCCTTAGACACATACAGTGAGACTCTGAGCTCAGATGAGAGGTTCCCAGGCCAGAAAGACAACTGAGGAGCGCCAGGGTGCAGAAGGTGCCCACAGCCCTGGTAGGGACGAAGAGTCGCCAGTCTGGTGAGTGCGCACAGAACAGCCCTGCTGGCTGCCTTCTGGTTCCAGACGCTATGGGTGAGAAACATGCAATAGGAACGAACCCGCTAGCACTCTCAGACCCTGAGTTCAACACAAATTTCAAAGGATAAAAGAGGAGCTAGAGATTTCCCCGCGGAAGCGGAGGGAGTGGCGGATTGATTGCGCTGATGCCCCAATTGGTGGGCTTCCTTTGCCTTGTAACACCCTGGTCCCCTCCCACCCTGAGTCTGGGCTTGGCCACGTGACTTGCTTTGGCCAAGAGGATGTTAGTGGACTTGCCTAAAGCAAAGGCTTTAAAAAAACACTTGCATGTTTTTATTTCCTCTCCTCCTCTACTTCCATCATAAGAAAATGCTGAGGCCAGCTCTCTCCTGGAATCCTGTCACCACCAAGAAATAAATCCTGGCCGCCCTGCTGGGATATATAATGATCACCGGGAGCACAGCTGAGTCGTCTCAGCCAAGATGACCCTAGACCAACTGTTTCCCAGTTGAGCCACCAGCTGCCTGCAGACACATGTGCGAGCTCAGTCCCAGTCAGCAGAAACTTCTAGCTGACCTCTAGACTTGTGACTGTCATTTTAAGCCTGTAAGTCATAGGTTGGTTTGTTACACAGCAGTAACTAACTGATACAGAGAGAGTTTCTTTAGAGAGAGGGAGCGGGGCTGTGTGATGAGCATCTATCCCCGTGGGGAGGAAAGGAATGCTTCATGCTTCTCCCTAACTTTAAGCCAAGAGAACTACTCAGAGGCCTTGGCCTGTGTCCCCTGGGACTTGAGGAATGTAGGGGCTGGTGCCTGACTCATGTCCAGAGGCCCTGGGAAAGGCCTGCACTTCCAGCAAGGATGTGTGTGCTTCCCCTGGGCCAGATTTGGACCTTGCAGAAGGGCTGCTGCCCACAAGGTCACCCAGAGGGAGTCAGTCACCAAGCAGAGGAGTTGGCCAGAGGTCAGGCCTGTGGAGGGCGCTGTAGGCAGCCAGAGATAACAGGGATCACTGAGTCACGGGACAGCAGGTGAGATACCGGAGACAGGAGGGCTCCAAAGAACCCATCAAAGTACCCCTGAAGAAACACAACCAGGGAACACCTACCCCAGCTCACCCCATCTCTGCTCTAGCAGGCCCTTCCTAGCCCACCCCTCGCCTCTCCCAGCAGGGAGCAGGTGGAGCAAGAAAGAGAAGCAAACTCACCACGGCCCCCTTCCCACTGCAGCGTTCCACGTCCAAGTCGTATCCAAAAGGCCAGGGCGGGGTTTGTTTTAAATCGGATGAGTGTGCAGTTTTAATGTCAGACAGGACTGGGCCCATACCTGCACCTGACTGGAAGGGGAGCGGGCCTCCGGGAGCCCATATTGCCAGTCTGGGGGGGAGCCCCTCTGCCCCAGGGTTGCACCTAGCACCTCTACCTGGTGGCTTCCACACCTCCTTCTCCACTGGCCAACCAGCAGCTCACATCTCCCCCAGCACCTGCTCTGGGGCCATCCCGTGGCTCGGTGACCACACCACTGTCCACGTGGATGCTCAGGCCAGAAACCTGCGTGTCGGGCAGTCAGCACCCACCTCCTCCACCCTCCCCTGTGCCTCACCCACCTCCTGCCAATGTGCCCTCCAGGGTACCCCCTCAGGCCTGGCTCTGCCTTCACCACCCCCATCCACAGCCACTCCACCCGCCTCTCTCCCCTTCCTGCCCCTCACCCCTTCGCTCCAGTCACTCGGAATGAGCTGGGACTCCGCACCACGCCCTCACAGCTCAGGACCTGTGCCGAGCTCCTGCCTGGCCCGGGCGTGCCCTCTCTGCCACTCTTAGACTACTACAGGGCGGCTCTGCTGCCCTGCCGCCCCTGACCTCGCCCCACCCACAGCCTCTGCCTCCCGTTGTCGCTGGCTGCGGTGGTCCTTCTCTCCTGCGAGACTCTGCTCCTCCAGCACAAGGGTGCGGCACAGAGCCGGCACTGCAGAGGGGGCGGATGCCTGAAGGAGAGGAGGGGTGGCCTTGAGGGAGACTTGGGAAAGGGAGTCCCAGGTGGCTTTGCTGCTGGGTCTGCAGCGCTTTCCTGCGGGTAGGACGCAGGATAGATAAATGTGGTCCAGAGCTGACCTGGCTAAGGTGTGGCACCCCAGGGCAAGAGCACTGTCCTTGGAGTCAGACAAGAGTGGGTCGATCCTGGCTCCACCATCTACCTATTGGATGATCCTGGAAAAGTCATGTCACCTCTTTGATCCCTGTTTTCTTATGTGAAAAAAGGGGACCAATGACGAAAGGGAGGGATCCGTAACTGCTGGCCTCCCGCCTCACAGGCTGGGTGTGCATGAGCACCTCTCAGAGTCAGCACCCTGGGCACCTTATTGGCTGCAGAGCGGACCTGCCCTCGAGGTGCTCCCAGCCTGGGAGCACTGATGCAGTGTGCAGAAGATGCAGTGTGAGCCCAGCGGGAAGCCCAGGGGCTATGGGAGCAGAAGCGTGGCAATTGTGGCCCCTGCACCCCTCTGTGTGTGGCTGTGTGGGATCCTGGCAGGGCAGGGCCTCCCCAAGCAGCGTGTGGGTGGCGAGTTACCTGATGAGGTCCAGCAGGGCGTCGGCCGAGCTCATGATGGGCTTCCCGCTCTGCTCCGTGGTCTCCTTCTGAGCTGCACCGCCCGGGTGGATGATGGAGACCATGATGATGCCCACGATGACGGCCACGAAGGTGGTCCACAGGTAGTACGCCACGGTGAGGATGCCCAGGCGGCTGGAGGTCTTGGCATCCAGGGAGGCGAGGCCGGACATCAAGCTGGGACATCAGGTGGGTCAGCATCTGCGGGTGGGGGAGGCCCAAGCCCGGCCAGGCACCAGGCCTGCCCACTCTGGCCCCCTCCAGCCGTGCCGGCACCCTCACAGTGCCCCAGCGAGTCCCTTCCCCCAGTGACCTGGTCCCACAGCTCCGCCCGGCCCCTCTGCTCTGCCCTCTCCCCCGTGCCCAGGTCGCAGGCTGAGCGTGGTCACCCCTCGTGGCCTTGGCCTGTGCTGGTGCCTCAGAGACTCTCCTTCACTTGCCTGACTCCTACCGCAGGCAAGAGCTAGCCCAGGGTCACCTCTCCGGTCTACCTGCCTGTCCCGCAGAGTTAGGAGTCCATTCTGGGGCTCCCTTGGTCCCCAGCCGCCTCTGTCATGACCCTGGTTGTCACTGACTGTTTCCTCCTCTGTCTCTCTCACCAGACTGAGGCCCCTGAGAGGAGGGACTCGACTGACTTCCTTCCCAGTGCTGGGGGCTGACACCACACTCATGCAGGTTTCCTGAATGAACCGATTGAGCACTGGGCTGGAGTGGGTGGCCCGGGTCCTAGCTCCAGGTCTGCCAACTGGCTATGTGACCTCAGGCAAGCAACTCACTCCCCCATCTTTGGGCCTCAGGGTCCCCATCTGTAAAATGGGGTCATGAGCAGTACCACCCTGGGGCTGTCTTGGGTTGGGGCCTGGGCCCAGACTTGCCCTCACAGGAGCTGCCGAGGGGCCTGCGGGTCTCTCTCCTCTTGGCGCCTCCTGCCTCTGGCCACGCTGACCTGGGCGCCCTGCCCACCAGAGCCAGGGCCCAGAGCCCGGGAGGCTCTTCCTGTGGCCGTGGTGGGGGCAGGGGTGGGGTGTGGGTGAGAGAGAGATTAATTAAGGAAATGCTTGTGTTTTGCTTTGCTGCCAAAAGGATTTTTCCCCAAAGCCCTTTCATTCTTTCAGATAAAGGAAGTATTTGTCTGGCTTTAATCATGTAAACAAGAGCAGATAATCCCTCATCCGGCTCCTCTTATCATTAGACTCCTCATGGCACTGGGGTTGAGCACAGCAACCCGTCCCCAGGCAGTGCCCTGCTCTTCCCCCAGTAGCAACAGGCTAACAGTGAGCCCCAGTTTAAGGGTCCCCTCCTCCAGGAAGCCTTCCCTGACCACCAGGCTGAGTGACGGCCCAGTTTCTGGGCTCCCGCAGTCCTTGTGCTTCCCTCTGTCCTGGCCCCCACCACACTGACTTGCTGTTTACTGCAAGGGCCTCCAGGGTTGGGCCAGGGTCTGATTCAACCCTGATTCAGGGTTCAGGGTCTGATTCAGAGCCAGGCACAGCCTGGCCCAGGGCACGGCTTGATAGCAGATTGCTGAGTGAAGGAGTGAAGGAATGAGTGAATGAATGAGTCAGTGTTTACAATCTCTGCTCCTGCTCATCTGCCAGGGTGCCATATGTCAGTGATGGGCTTAGGGTGGGTCTCAGACATAAGGCTGAGACAGGCTTGTAATGGGATTGTGCACCCAGAGGAAATGAAGGGTCCCCTGCAACCATTATCCAGGAGAGATTATCCCCGCCAGGGCCAAACAGTCCCCCCACCACAAAAGAACCCCCCTCAGTCAAATCCAACCGCCTCAGGCCACAGGGAAGCTGTGGCCCTGAGACGAAGACCTGCCCGAGGTCTCACAGGACACTGGTGCCAGCTGGACCAGAACTCAGGCCCTGCAGGCCTGTCCTCTTTCATGCATTTATTCAGACTTTTAGCACATGCCCGAGGGAGAATTGCTTGGGCGCAGGAGTTCGAGACCAGCCTGAGCAAGAGCGAGACTCCATGTCTACCAAAAGTAGAAAAATTAGCCAGGCGTGGTGGCGAGCTCCTGTAGTCCCAGCTACTGGGTAGGCTGAGGCAGGAGGATCCCTTGAGCCCAGGAGTTTGAGGTTGCTGTGAGCTTTGATGATGCCACGGCACTCCACCTGGGGCCACCAAGCAAGACTCTGTCTTAATTTAAAAAAAAGGTAAACCTGTACCAGGAGGGTCACTGAGATGGTATTTGTAGGGGCACAGACCTGGGACTGATTTAATAAATCACTGACGCAGATTAGATTAAAAGGTGCCGTATAGCAGCCATTGGAAGTGGGGGTGTCCTGGAAAGATGCTCCTAATTTAATGCTAAGTGGAAAAATCAAATTACCGCATCCTTTGTAGCTCTGTGCCCCTGAAGTGCGGCCAGGACGCGTACACACGAGTGAGGGATGGTGGGAGGGGTGCAGGTGAAAACTGGATTTCAGAAAAGGATAAAGGGCCCCTGGGGGGGCCTCTGGGGAAGAGGCCTAACACAGGGAGGTGCCAACTCGGGGACAGGCCCAGATGTGGGGAGGGTGCAGGTCCTACACAGAGCGGGAGAGGACCCCGACCCGGGAGGGCGGGAGAGGACCCCGACCCGGGAGGGCGGGAGAGGACCCCGACCCGGGAGGGCGGGAGAGGACCCGACCCGGGAGAGAGGAGAGGACCCGACCCAGCCCAGGGGGCACCCACTGGCTTGGACAGGAGAGTTGGTGGGTAAAATGGGGAGAATCCCGTCACCTGGGACCCACGTTCCTGCAGGTGAGGAAGGAACTGCTGGCCACCGCTGACCCCAGCCTGGTGCCGGCAGTGCCAGGCCACCGCAGGTGACGGCACAGCCGAGACGAATGAGTGCCAAGCGGGGGGAGGGCGTGGACTTCACATGCAGCGCACATCTCTCCCGGCACTCACGGTCACGAGAAAGGAGGTGAGGTCCTGCCACGGGGCCTTTTGGGGGTTCCTCTGGGTTGGGGCTCTTTGGTGTCTAGGACTTTGGGGCAAAGCTGTTAAAGTGACTTTTCTGAGAGCCTGCAAGCTGGGGCTGGGTGGAGAGGGGGCACTGGTCACATGGGCATGCACAGAAAAACCGAACTCTAGAAAGTTTAACGGTAGTTGTCTTTAAACTAACGTTGGGTGGTGGGATTATAGGTAATTTTTGTTTTGTTTTGAACATTTCTTCACATTCTCTGTTCTTCCTAAACGAGCATATCTTCTTGTGCAGTGGAAAGCCCGGCGCCTCGAGTCCCAGCCGCCACAGAAACCACCGCCTGTCTGGAGCCTCACTCCCCAGACACCCAACATGCACCCTACTCCATCCATCGTTAAACAGCCTTCTAACTGCCCTGTGGAATTAGAATGCGAGCCACATTTG